AAATTAAAATCGATTCACCATGAATCACCCAAAACCATCCCATTTTTACCAGTGGAACACTTTGCAAAAGTGTCGGTGAGGCTCAAGGAGAAGACTAGTGGGAGCTCTGAAAACCTCGCTTTTCCTCCCAAAGAGAAAGAAAGACACTGCTTGCCACCCTTGCTCCCCTTGCCTTCCTTTTGCTTGCGACTGCTAGAGCTGCAGCAACCATCATGGGACCATCAGGAAAAGGACAAAAGAACTGGAAAGAAGGCAGTCAGCCTTGGACATCACTGAGTCCCCAACCAATATCAGCAAATTTTATGTGTAAAATTACAACACCAAAAAAACCTCACCCCTATGTTTAAGCCATTGGGAGTTAGGTTTTTGTACCAGCACCTGAGGGCACTCTTGATTAATAATACAATCAATCTAATTTGGGGTCTTCCAGACTTTCGTCATCCTCAAACTGCCTCGACATTGTTGCCATGTCTGCTCAAGTACCATGTTCTTCTGTAAATTGAGACACTTTTATTAACATGACTCAAATATGTGATGATTAAAATTAAAATAGATTCACCATGAATCACCAAAACCATCCCATTTTTACCAATGAAACACTTTGCAAAAGCAAACCCAGCTCCGGCTATGTCTCTGAGGTCCCCACCCCCAATTCCCAGGAGGGAAGGCTCTGGAGCAGGGTCTTCCCTGAGTCCCCTGGCACCTAGGCCCACACACTTCAGGAACTCTATGGAGATGGAGATGGCTGCAGGTCTACAGAATAGTAAGACTTACACAGGATTCATGGTTGTGGTATTAAATGGTCTCTTTTCAAAACTAAGATTTTTGCGTTTATTTCTGGAGATAAGTTAGGGAATACTGGGCAGTCCTTTTTTGTGTCAGTGCAGAGATAGCTATGTGGCTGGAGAAAAAACGGGAATACCCAGGCCAGCTGATACCACTCATTCAGCAGAAGCAGGAAGCTCCTTCAGATGTTCCTGAACATTTTGCTCGGCCCGCTTCCAGCTTTGTCCATTTAGTGTCCACTCAATTATGACAGTAATATTTCACGTCAGTGGAGGAAAGATGGGTTATGCAACACATGGTGATAGAATAGTTGGGAAATTATTAAGAAAAAATAGTGGGCCGGGCGCGGTGGCTCACGCTTGTAATCCCAGCACTTTGGGAGGCCGAGGTGGGTGGATCACGAGGTCGAGAGATCGAGACCATCCTGGTCAACATGGTGAAACCCCGTCTCTACTAAAAATACAAAAATTAGCTGGGCATGGTGGCGCTTGCCTGTAATCCCAGCTACTGAAGAGGCTGAGGCAGGAGAATTGCCTGAGCCCAGGAGGCGGAGGTTGTGGTGAGCCGAGATCGCGCCATTGCACTCCAGCCTGGGTAACAAGAGCGAAACTCCGTCTCAATTAAAAAAAAAGAAAAGAAAAGAAAAAATAGTTATATCCCTAACTCACTCCACTCATACACACATATGCAAAGACATTCCGATGGGTGAAAGCCTTGAATATAAAAGAATTTATCCCTAAACTATGCTACATTCATACCATAGATTATTGCACAGCAGTCAGTTAGAAAAGGAAGAAGTAGCTGGGCACGGTGGCTCACACCTGTTATCCCAGCACTTTGGGAGGCTGAGGCGGGCGGATCACAAGTTCAAGAGATCAAGATCTGGTCAATATGGTGAAACTCCATCTCTCCTAAAAATACAAAAATTAGCTGGGCATGCAATCTCAGCTCTAGGGAGACTGAGGCAGGAGAATTGATTAAAAAGAAAGAAAGACAAGAAAAGGAAGAAGTAAATATATGTGAGTGACAAGGCACTATCTAATATTCAATGAAAAGCAAATTATAAGCCAGGCACAGTGGCTCATGCCTGTAATCCCAGCACTATGAGAGGCCAAGGCAGGCAGATCACTTGAGGTCAGGAGTTTAAGACCAATCGGGCCAACATGGTGAAATCCTGTCTATACTAAAAATACAAAAATTAGCCAGGTGTGGTGGCCTGTGCCTGTAATCCCAGCTACTAAGGAGGCTGAGGCAGAGAATCGCTTGAACCCAGGAGGTGGAGGTTGCAGTGAGTGAAAAATCACACCACTGGACTCCAGCCTGGGCAACTAGACTCTGTCTTAAAAAAAAAAAAAATTATAAATAACATATATAGAACAATGCCATTTATGTTAAATGTGTGCATATATATCCATATAAACATATGAACTTAATGCATTAATAGAGTCTGAAAGGATAAACCTTAACTAGGTAACAGTCATTACTTCATTTTTTCATGGAAATGCAGAAGTATTTACTTATTAGTTTCATAAGATCAGCTGTTCTACTTAAGTTCACCAAAAAAAAAAAAAAAAAAACGTATTTCCCATCATCCCTCTTTTTCTCCTCTCTGCTTTTGAAGTGTGTGTGAGGGCATTATGAGAAGATAAAGTGATTATATTCAAGGATGCAACTGGGATATAATCATATATTTGCCTATCTAATTTTAAAAAGCAGAAAAGATCAAAACTTAATGAAAAACGCTGAACTACAAAGTAGTAGAGAAAACATGAGGCCGGGCATGGTGGCTCACACCTGTAATCCCAGCACTTTGGGAGGCCAAGGCAGGAGGATCACAAGGTTAGGAGTTCAAGACCAGCCTGACCAACATGGTGAAACCCCATCTCTTAAAAAAAAAGAGAGAGAGAGAGAGAAAACATGAAAGAATTTTTTATAATCTTCATGTGGCAATCAGCTCTCAGCAATATGGCAAAGACAAAGCCATAAGAAAAGGAAAGATTGACAAATACCACATGAAAATCTCTATACGGCAAAGCAAAAGACAAGAAAATAGGAAAAACATTCACAACAGGATGCAGAAAGGGTAAGATTATTAAACTGTGAATTGTCTGGAAATAATAAGAAAATTACAAACCCAGTAGGAAAATGAATAAAAGGCATAAAGAAACACTCTATATTAAAAGAAGACAGCTGGGCACAGTGGCTCACACCTGTAATCCCAGCACTTTGGGAGGCTTAGGTGGGTGGATCACGAAGTCAGAAGTTCAAGACCAGCCTGGCCGAGATGGTGATACCTCATTTCTACTAAAAATACAAAAATTAGCCAGGCGTGGTAGTGGGCACCTGTAATCCCAGCTACTCAGGAGTCTGGGCAGCAGAGTGAGACTCCATCTCAACAACAGAAGAAGAAGAAGACAAGAAAATATCCCAAATTCATATTTAAGGTGTTCAACTTCACTGATAATTACAAAAAAGCAAATTAAAATAAGATATCAGCCAGGCACGGTAGCTCACTCCTGTAATCCCAACACTTTGGGAGGCTGAGATGGGCAGATCACCTGAGGTCAGGAGTTCAAGATCAGCCTGGACAACATGGTGAAACCCCATCTCTACTAAAAAATAAAAAAAAAATTTAGCCAGGTGTGGTGGCAGGTGCCTGTAATCCCAGCTACTCGGGAGGCTGAGGCAGGAAAATTGCTTGAACCCAGGAGGTAGAGGTTGCAGTGGGCCTAGATCGCACAATTGCAGTCTTGGCAACAAGAGCAAAACTCCAACTCAAAAGAATAAAATTAAAAATTAAAAATAAATAAAGTGATATAATCTTTTCCACTTAGGTGGGGAGGACTAAAAAGATTTCTAGGCCAGGTGCAGTGGCTCACACCTGCAATCCCAGCGCTCTGGAAGGCCAAAGTGGGCAAATCATGAGGTCAGGAGATTGAGACCAGCCTGGCTAACATGGTGAATCCTCATCTCTACTAAAAATACAAAAAAAATTAGCCAGGCCAATGGCACACGCCTGTAGTCCCAGCTACTCCGAAGGTTGAAGCAGGAGAATCGCTTGAACCCAGGAGGCGGAGGTTGTAGTGAGCCGAGATCGCACCACTGCCCTCCAGCCTGGGTGAGAGAGCAAGACTCCATCTCAACAAAAAAAAAAAAAAAAAAAAGATTTCTAATAGCCAGTTTTTGACAAGGGTGGGGCGGAAACAGGTGCATTTCCATCTGTTGATGGAAGCCTAAACTGGCTTCAGCAGGCAAACTTGGAAGATAAGTATCAAAAGTTAAAATGCGCATGTTGCTCTCTTCTAGGAATTTATTTTCAGAAAAGAATGGTGCACGGTGCAAAGTTGGGTGAACAAGAAAGGTCATTGTACTGAAAAGTTAGAAATGGCCTGAATGCCCATCAATGGGGATTTGGTTAAATAAATTTATGAGACTTGGAGGTGTTACGGAGACCAGGCAGGTGTTATAAAAGATAAAGCACATCTTTACATGTTGACACAAAGCACATAATGTTCACATGAGAAAAACGGCTCGCACCGTTCCATATGCCAACTGATCCTCTTTTGTTTAATGTATAACCCACTGGGAAGGCCAACACTTAACACTCGTTATCCCTGTCGGTGAGAATTTTAGGGAAATTTTCTATATTATTGAAACTTTTTACAAAGAGCAAGTGTTATTTGTATGATAACAAAAGTGAGTAAAGGTTTCATTTTGAAAAACTGGGAAAGAAATATGCTATATGTCCTTTAAGGCTCTATTTTCTTTTGTTCAACAAATATGAACAGTTTATTATGTAGAAGGTAATGCCTCCAGGCCTGGGGTAGATACAAAAGACAATCAGACTGAACCTCTCTCTGCTTCCTGACACCAAACCTGTATTATCACTGCCCCCACCTGACACACAGACACACACACACACACACACACGCACACACACGTCTTCCTCCTGCCACAAATAAGTTGGTGTCGCGTGGCCAATCCCACTGCCCTGCGCCCTAGAGTCCATCTCCCCACTATTTTCTCAGAAGCCTCACATTATTCATTATCATTCTTTCCTTCCAACTTCTCCCTCTCTCTTGTCCATCTAGTTACTTGAAACCTCTCAAGTCTCTTTCATTCTAAATAAAAGGAAGGAAGGACATTCTGGACAGAATTATTGGGGATAGAAGGGAAGAGGAAGGGGAGAAGAAAGAGGTATCCAAGCATATTCTCCAAATTTGTGACTTTTAAACATTCTTTTTTTTTCTTTTTCGAGTCGTCATGGCGGGGTATTGGGAAAAGTTTTCAATTAGCAATAATCACGCCTCAGTTAAACCTCATTGGCTTCAATACTGCCACTGCACAAAGCTAAACATTGTTAAAGAAATATGTTAGCCTGACTATTATAAGAACATGACACCTGGTACAGTGGCTCACACCTGTAATCCCAGCACTTTGGGAGGCCAAGAGGGGCGCATCACCTAGGGCCAGGAGTTCAAGACCAGCCTGGCCAACATGGTGAAACCCCATCTCTACTAAAAATACAAAAATTAGCCAGGCATGGTGGCATATGCTTGTGGTTCCAGCTACTTGGGAGGCTGAGGCAGGAGGATCACTTGAACGTGGAAGGCAGAGGTTACAGTGAGCAGAGATTGAGCTACTGCACTCCAGCCTGGGCAACAGAGTGACACTCCATCTCAAAAAAAAACAAAACGAAAGAACAGACAGATACAGCAATATAAAGGCAAGACTTTGAGCTAGGCGGAGAAGGTGCTCTCTCTCCCTCTGACCCAGAGGGTGGACCCAGTCCTGCGCTCCCCAGCCCCTGCCTCAGGATGCACTCTGTTGGAGTCAGAACCTGGACGATCTCAATTGTGGATCGCTCATTTCTCTCCAGGTATCACTCTCCCTACTCCCCTTCAGTCAAACTTCAAGAAAGAGTTGTCTACCTGCCTTCCCGTCCTTACCTCCTCCACTCCTCCACACACGGATTGGCTGCTGAGCCTCACCACTCTACCAAAACCAGTTCCCCTGAGGCACACTTCTCAGGCTTGCCTCAGCTTCCCAGCAGCATTTGGCTCCAGTCTTGGGTCTGTCCTCTCTTTGTATTCTTTGCCAATGTTTCCTCTCCAGCCTCACTTCTCAGTCCTGGGGCTCCCGGTGCTCAGTCCTGAGACCTTTGCTCTCTTCCCTGTACCCTCTCTCCTAGGCCATCTTAACCAAGCCACATGTTCATCACCATTATGCACCAATGGTGCACAAACGCCACTGACTTCTGAAAATGCCTGGTCAATCAACACCTCACAACTGGCATCTAGAAGATTGTTGGCTTCATCAATATCTCTGCTTGGGTATCTCACAGATTTCATTCATTTATTTATTCTATCAAGTACCTACTATGTGTCAGGAACTACACTAGTCACTGGATATAGAATGAAAAACAAAACAGGCATGGTTCATGCCTCTGAGCAGCTTAACTCAAATGTCAACAACTGAACTCAAGAGCTTTCCTCAGCCAACATGCTCCTCCATGTTCTGTGTCTCAATAACTGGCACAACTTCCACCCACCTGCTCAAGCCAGAAACTTGAATGGTATAGCTGATACTTCACTTTCCCTTATTCTACCTGCGGGAGACACATTCTAAAGTGGATACCCCTACCCACAGTGAGGCATGTCTTTGTGTAATCCTCTCCCCTTGAGGCAGAACCTGTGACCTGCTTCTAATCAACAGAAGATAGCCAAGGTGGACCAGGCACAGTGGCTAACACCTATAATCCCAGCACTTTGGGAGGCTGAGGTGGGCGGATCACTTGAGGTCAGGAATTCAAGACCAGCCTGACCAACATGGTGAAACTCCATCTCTACTAAAAATACAAAAATTGGCCAGGTGTCATAGGGGACACCTGTAATCCCAGCTACTTGGGAGGCTGAGGCATGAGAATCACTTGAACTCAGGAGGAGGAGATTGCAGTGAGCCGAGATCATGCCACTGTACTCCAGCCTGGGCAACAGAATGAAACTCCATCTCAAAAAAGTAAAATAAAATAACAATTCAATTAAAAAGAAGATAGCCAAGGTAATAGATGTCAGGATCTTGTTTAGGATGTGTTGCGTGGCAATAGCGCCTGGATGTCATTCCTGTGATTACATTTTGTTGTATAATTCTCTATTTTAGCAGGATCAAGAGAGACTCCCTTGCTGGCTTTAAAGAAGTAAGCTGTCGTAGAGTAATGTCACAGAGCAGAGAGTGAGGAGGGTGTGTCCAGCTCCCGCTCTCACAGCCATTGCAGTACATCAAGCTCCATAGGGACAGCGCCAGGGCGAGTGAGAGACAGATGGGCACTGGGCGACTCTGTGCCTTGCTGAGGGAAAATAACTGAACATGGGCAAAGGAGATCCTAAGAAGCCAAGAGGCAAAATGTCATCATATGCATTTTTTGTGCAAACTTGTCAGAAGGAGCATACGAAGCACCCAGATGCTTCAGTGAACTTCTCAGAGTTTTCTAAGAAGTGCTCAGAGAGGTGGAAGACCGTAACTGCCAAAGAGAAAGGAAAATTTGAAGATATGGTAAAGGCGGAAAAGCCCCGTTATGAAAGAGAAATGAAAACCTATATCCCTGTAAAGGGGAGACAAAAAAAGAAGTTCAAGGATCCCAATGCACCCAAGAGGCCACCTTCGGCCTTTTTCCTGCTCTGTTCTGAATATTGCCCAAAAATCAAAGGAGAACATCGTGGCCTGTCCACTGGTGATACTGTGAAGAAACCGGGAGAGATGCGGAGTGCCACTGCTGCAGATGACAAGCAGCCGTGAAAAGAAGGCTGTGAAGCTGAAGGAAAAGTACGAAAAGGATATTGCTGCATACCGAGCTGAAGGAAAGCTTGCTGCAGCAAAAAAGCCGGGGGAGTTGTCAAGGCTGAAAAAGCAAGACAAAGAAGGAAGAGGAGGAAGATGAGAAAGACGAAGAGAATGAGGAGGAGGAGAAAGATGAAGATGATGATGAATAAGTTGGTTCCAGCACAAATTTTTTCTTGCCTATAAAGCATTTAACCCCCCCCCCGCCGTACACGACTCACTTCTTTTAAAGAAAAAGAATTAAAGCGTAAGGATGTGTAAGTTTGGTTTTTAAACCGTACAGTGTCTTTTTTTGTATCATTAACACATGACCGAATGTGTCTTTAGATAGCCCTGTCCTGGTGTATTCTCAGTAGCCACTAACCTTGCCTGGTATAGTGTGGGGGTTGTAAATTGGCATAGAAATTTAAAGCAGGTTCCTGCTGGTGCACAGCACAAATTAGTTACAGACGGAGATGGTAGTTTTTCATCTTCAATTGTCTCTGATGCAGCTTCTACGAAATAATTCCTGTTCTGTTAACTGAATGCCGCTTTGTAACGGCAAAAAAAAAAAAAAAAAAAAAAAATGCAGCTGTTCTGTTAACATTCTGAATGCTTCTAAGTAAATATAATTCTTTTATTAGAAAAAAAAAAAGAAGTAAGCTGTCATGATCATCAAGGAACTGTGGGTGGCCTCTGAGAGCCAGAAAGAAAATAAAGATCTCAGGGCTACGATTGCAAGGAAATGAATCTGCCAACAACCTGAGGAAGCCTGCAAATTGATCCTCGGACGAAGTTACAGCTCATGTCAATACTTGGTCTGAAGTCTGTTGAGACCCTGAGCAGAGGAACCAGTTAAGCTGTGCCTAGACTCTTGACCCAGAGAACTGTAAGATAATAAATGGGTGTTACTTGGGGCTGCTATGTTTGTGGTAATGTGTTCCTCAGCATAGAAAACTATAGCCAGGCATGGTGACTCATGCATGCCTGTAATCACAGCTACTTGGGAGGTTGAGACAGGAGAATCACTTGAACCCGGGAGGCAGAGGTTGCAGTGAGCCGAGATCACACCATTGCACCATTGCACTCTAGCCTGGGACACAACAGCAAGACTCCATCTCAGAAAAAAGAAAGAAAGAGAGAGAGGAAAGAAAGAAAGAAAGAAAGAAAGAAAGAAAGAAAGAAAGAAAGAAAGAAAGAAAGAAGGAGGGAGGGAGGGAGGGAGGGAGGGAGGGAGGGAGGGAGGGAGGGAGGGAGGGAAGGAAGGAAGAAAGAAAGAAACAAAAGAGAGAAAGAAAGAAAGAAAACTAGTGGAGCACCTGTCCATCACCAGAACTTTTTAAATTTTTCACTGAAATAATTCTCAAAAACTCAATTTTTCTTCCTCTCCACTACGCTACCCAGAGTAAACTGCCATCATCTCCTATCCAAATAGAGTATCTATCGGCCTGGCACAGTGGCTTACACCTATAATCCCAGCATTTGGAAGGCTGAGGCGGGAGGATTGCTTGATCCCAGGATTTTGAGACCAGCCTGGGCAACATGGCAAGACCTTGTCTGTATTAAAAATCAAAAAAGTTAGCCAGGCATGGTGGTGTGGACATGTGGTCCCAGCTACTTGGCAGGCTGAGGCTGGCGGTTCGCTTGAGCCTAAGAGGTCAAGCCTGTGGTGAGCTATGATTGCCCCACTGCACTCCAGCCTGGGTCAGGGCAAGACCCATTCTCAGAAATAAATAAATAAATAAATGTTTAAAAATATCATCTTAATCTCCACTGTCACATTTGCTCCTCCTAACTTAACTGGACCAAGACACAAACAAGCGCACCACAGCCAGGCTAATAATTTCACATTCCTTCAATGCAACACTTTTTCAGTAGAGATGAGGAGAAAGTGTCTATTAATAAAAGCGATGCATCTCTTTGTATGCCAAAATGAGAGGTTCAGTATACGTGATTTTCCAAAGCAGATAACTCTGGGAAGCAGATTAAACCACTTAAAATTTAAACAACAGTCTGGGCACAGAGGCTCATGCCTGTAATCCCAGCACTTTGAGAGGTTGATGAGGGAGGATCACTTGAGCCCAGGAGTTCAAGACCAGCCTGGGCAACATAGTGAGACCTCATCTCTATTAATTAAACAACAACAACAAAATAAATAGCACAACCTATTGTATTACATAGATTCAGACTTTCAGCTTACTGTGCTTAATGGCAGTTCATGGCTGATTCATCTCAGGTTTGGAGGAACAGTTGGCACATGTCCATCACAAGGTTTTAATTTTAAGAAAGAACAATTTGGCTGGGTGTGGTGGCTCATGCCTGTAATCCCAGCACTTAGGGAGGCCGAGGCACGTGGATCACCTGAGGTCAGGAGATCAAGACCATCCAGCCAACATGTTGAAACCCTGTTTCAACTAAAAATACAAAAATTAGCCCAATATGGTGGAGTGCACCTGTAGTCCCAGCCGCTCGGGAGGCTGAGGCAGAATTGCTTGAATCCGGGAGGTGGAGGTTTCAGAGAGCTGAGATCGCACCACTGCACTCCAGCCAGGGCAACAGAGTAAGACTCTTTCTCAAAAAACAAGGAAGAATAATTTATCTTTTTATTTCTCTGTTGCTCAAGCTTTGGGTGCCAAATCTGAGGTCATGAAGATTTACCTCATGTTTTCTTCTTATAGCTTTATAGCTTTACCATTTACATTTAGGTTGTTGATCATTTTGAATTAATTTTTGCATGTGGAATGAGGCAAGGGTATGAGTTCATTTTTTCTTTTGCATGTGGTTGTCCTGTTGTCCCACCACAATCTGTTTAACAGACCCTTCTTTCCTCCCATTAAATGGCACCCTTGTCAAAAATCAATTGACCATAGATGTTTGGTTTTATCACTAAACTCTCAATTCTATTTTATTGGTCTATATGTGTCTGTCTTTATACAAGTATCACACTTCAGCCTGGGCAATACAGTGAGATCTCGACTAAAATTTCTTTTTAATTAGCCAAGTGTAGCAGTGTGCACCTGTAGTCCCAGCTACTCGGGAGGCTGAGATGGGACAATTACTTGAGTCCAGGATCCAGGTGCTGCAGTGAGCCAAGATTGTGCCACTGCACTCCAGCCTAGATGACAGAGTGAGGCCCTGTCTCAAAAGCATCTTCCTGGTAAGTTTGGAAATCAGGTACCTTCCTAGTAAGTCTGGAAACCAGGAAGTGTGAGTCTTTCAATTTTCTTTTTCTTTTTAAATATTGTTTTGGCTATTCAGAGGTCCCTGCAGGCTTTTGTTTGTTTGTTCTTTTGTTGTTGTTGTTGTTGTTGTTGTTGTTTGGGTGGGAGTCTCACTCTGTTGCCCAGGCTGGAGTGCAGTGGCGTGATCTCAGCTCACTGAGCTTCTGCCTCCTGGGTTCAAGCAATTCTCCTGCCTCAGCCTCCTGAGTAGCTGGGATTACAGGCACACACCACCACACCCAGATAATTTTTGTATTTTCAGTAGAGACAGGGTTTCACCATGTTAGCCAGGATGGTCTTGATCTCCTGACCTCATGATCCACCTGCCTGGGCCTCCCAAAGTGCTGGGATTACAGGCATGAGCCACTGTGCCCAGCCAGTCCCTGCAGTTATATAGGAACTTGAGGATAAGTTTCTATTTCTCCAAAAAAAAAAAAAGACCATTGGAATTTTGATAGGGATTACATTGAATCTATAGATTGCTTTGGGGAATGTTGCCATCTTAACAATATTAACACTCCCAACCCAGGAACATGGGATGTCTTTTCATTTATTTAGGTCTTCCTTAGTTTATTCCATCAGCGTTTTTAGTTTTTGGTGTATAAGTCTTTCACCTCCTTAGTTAAATTTATTCCTAGGTAATTTATTCTCTTGGATACTACTGTAAATTGAATTGTTTTCTTAATTTCCTTTTCAGACAGTTCACCGCTATGTAAAGAAATAGAGCTGATGTTTGCGTGTTGACCTTGTACCAACTTTGCTGAATTCCTTTACTAGCTGTAGTAGGTTTTTGGGGTTCTATGGGATTTTCTATACAGACAGCCATGTCATCTACAGGGCGCCCACCTGTAGTTCCAGCTACTCAGGAGGTTGAGTCAGGAGAATCACTTGAACTCTAGAGGCAGAGGTTGCAGTGAGCTGAAATTGTACCACTTCATGCCAGCCTGGGCAACAGAGTGAGGCCCTGTCTCAAAAACAAAAAAGACAAAGTGCTGAGATTACAGGTATGAGCCACTGTGTCCAGCCCCTGAATATATTTTTCCATTCTTTTATTTTCAACTTATTTGTGTCTTTGGATCTTAAGTTAGTCTATAGTAAAAGCACATAGTTGGATCATTTTTTTAAAATTCATTTTGCTTGCCAGGTGCAGTGGCTCACATCTATAATCCCAGCACTTTGGGAGGCCGAGGCAGGTGGATCACTTGAGGTCAGGGGTTTGAGACCAGCCTGGCCAACATGGTGAAACCTCATCTCTACTAAAAATGAGAAAAAAAAAAGAGCCAGGCACAGTGGTGTGTGCCTGTAGTCCCAGCTACACAGGAGGCTGATGCAGGAGAATCACTTGAAACCGGGAGGCGGAGGTTGCGGTGAGCTGAGATCTTGCTAGACTCTGTCTCAAAAAAAAAAAAAATTGTTTTGTCAATCTCTGTCTTTTAATTAAGAGTTTCATCCATTTACATTTTAAATGATTATTGATAACAAAGAACTTACCTCTACCATCAAGCTATTTGTTTTCTTTTTTTTAACATTTAATTTAGGTTCAGGCATACATGTGCAGGTTTGTTATATAAATTGTTGTAAATTGCATGTCGTGGGGATTTGGTGTAGAAATTATTCCATCATCCAGGGTAATAAGTATAATACTCAATGGTTTTTTTGATCCTCACCCTCCTCCCACCCTTCACCCTCAGTAAGCTCTGGTGTCTCTTGTTCCCTTCTTTGCATCTGTATATACTCAATGTTTAGCTCCCATTTACAAGCAAAAACATGTGGTATTTGGTGGTCTTTTTTTTTTTTTTTTGAGACGGAGTTTCCCCAGGCTGGAGTGCAGTGACCAGATCTCGGCTCACTGCAACCTCCACCTCTTCGGTTCAAGCCATTCTCCTGCCTCAGCCTCCCAAGAAGCTAGGATTACAGGCACCTGCCACCACAGCTGACTAATTTTTGTATTTTTAGTAGAGATGGGGTTTCACCATGTTGTCCAAGCTGGTCTCGAACTCCTGAGCTCAGGTGATCCACCCACCTCAGCCTCCCAAAGTGCTGGGATTACAGGCATGAGCCACTGTGCCTGGCTCCTTCAAGTTTTGAAAGAACATTTTACGGACTATAATATTCCTGGTTGACAGGTTTTTTTCTTTCAGCACTTTAAAGATATCATCATTCCACCGCCTTCATGGTTTCTGATGAAAAATTAACTGTTGTTCTTACACAGGGTCCTTGTAAATGATGAGTCACTTCTCCCTTGCTGAAGATTTTCTCTTCATTTTTGACTTTCAACAGTTTGATTATAATGTGTCTCAGTGTGAATCTCTGAATTTATTCTGCTTTAAGTTTATCAAGCCTATTAGATGTGTTAATTCACATCCTTCACCACATCTAGGAACTTTATTACTTTTTAAAATATTTTTCCGCTGGGCGTGGTGGCTCACGCCTATAATCCCAGCCCTTTTAGAGGCTGAGGCGGGAGGATCACGAGGTCAAGAGATCGAGACCATCCTGGTCAACAAGGTGAAACCCCGTCTCTACTAAAAATACAAAAATTAGCTGGGCATGGTGGTGCGCACCTGTAGTCCCAGCTACTCGGGAGGCTGAGGCAGGAGAATTGCTTGAACCCAGAAGGTGGAGGTTGCGGTGAGCCGAGATCGTCTGTTGCACTCCAGTCTGGCTAACAACAGGGAAACTCCGTCTCAAAAAAAAATTTCCTTCTTCTTTCTCTCTCTCTCCCATCTGTTTCTGTAACTCCCAAAATGTGTTTTGATATGCTTAATTTGTGTCCCACATGTTCAACAACTCTGTTCAATTTTTTTGTTGTTGTTGTTTCTCAAACTGGGTAATTATAACTGCCCTGTCTTCCGGTTCACTGATTCTTTCTTCTGCCTGCTCAAACGTGCTGTTGAGCCCCTCAAGTAATTTTGTACTTCAGCTATTGTACTTCTCAGCCCCCAAATTTTTATTTGGTTCCTTTTTATTATTTCTGTCTCTTTCTGATAGTCTATTTGTGTATATCCATCATGCTTCTGATCTTCCTTAACTATTCTTCATAGTTTCCATCAGCTCTTTTTTCCTTGAGCATAAAATGACAGTTAAATCTTTTTATATAAGTCCAACATCTGGGCTCTTCAGGGATAGTTTCTGTCAATTTTCTTTCTATATTCCTTTTACTATGAATGAGCCATACTTTCATTTTATGTTGCATGCTTTATAATTTTGTGATGAGAACTGTAAATTTTGAATGTTAAAATCGTAACTCTTGAAATTAGATTTCCTCCTTCTGCCCCGGTTTCAGGGATTATTGTTGCTTGAAGAAAGCTACAGTCATCTGTTTATTTGGTGCCTTTTCTAACTACGTTGGTAAGACTGTATTCCTTGGCATGTGTAGTCACTGAAGACTGTTTTATTACTTCTGCAGTCAGTCAGTCAGTGACCTGACAGAGCTTTCCTTAAATGCCTAGATCCAGAAAGGAAAGAAAAGGGCTGTTTTGTCTCTTGATATCCCCTCCATTACTCAGGAGGCTGAGACAGGAGGATTGATTGAGCCTAGGCGTTTGAGTCTAGCCTGAGCAGCATAGCAAGACCTCTTTTTTTTTTTTTTATGGAGTCTCATTTTGTCACCCAGGCTGGAGTGCAGTGGCACAATCTTGGCTCACTGCACTCTCCGCCTTCCAGGTTCAAGCAATTCCCCTAGCCTCAGCGTCCCGAGTAGCTGGAATTACAAGCACATAAGCAACCCTGGATAATTTTTTTTATTTTTAGCAGAGATTGGGTTTCACCATGTTGACCAGGCTGGCTCAAACTCCTGACATCAAGCGATCTGCCTGCCTCAGCCTCCCAAAGTGCTGGGGGATTACAAGTGCGAGCCACCTCACCCAGCCAAGTCCTCACCTAAAAAAAAACAGACAAACAAACCAACAAACAAAAAACCTTTCTTTAATCCCCTCCACCAAGGAGGAAACCACTTCAGCTCAGCCCATGGAGGCTGAAATAAAGGCCAACCTCTGCAATCGCCCCTTAGCAAACTATAAGGCATATCAAAACACACAAGCCTGATTTTTGGAGGACAAGGTCCATATGGCCCACCCTCACATCAGCAAGCACATCAGGGATACAGACTGCCATCTCCACAACTGGCTGCTGTGAAGAATTCACCAAAACTCACCAGCCTCTTTCCTCATCAAGTACTCCCTTCAATGCTGCAAGTGCTCCACTAGAATCTAGAGCTCCAAATAGTTGATTGTGACAATTCTTGCAAGTCCAATAGTTGTTTCAGTGAAGGGATCAATTCTACCTTGTCATCTTCTATGACATCACTCTTCCCCAACCCCACCATGTTAGGTTTTATCCCATAGGAAACAGATGGCACCCTCAAGATAGGACAATTTGAGGAGAATGTATTTAAGAAGGAGTATTTACAAAACTGTGGATGCAGGGGAACCACAAGAGACAATGCAGCAACTCAGGACTAACAGTAGCCGAGCTAATACTATCCCTAAGCCCAAAGGGTTGAGGAGAGGGATCAGGACCAGGAAGGAAGGAAAGAGTTGTGCTGAGGTGGCCACTGTGAGAGGAGCAGTAACATTAGGTTGATGGACACAGCCAGCATGAGGCAACCTCAAAAGATGAAGGAAAGCCAAGATTAAATAGCCTGATATTACTCTCTTGCCTCCTCCTACTAGTGCTATTTCTGTTCCCCTTCCTGCTTCTGGGCTCCTTATTTGCTAACCAAACACCCAGGCATAAGGGAGTCCAGCTGATGGAGGGGTGAAAAAGAATGAAGAGTGAATCTGGAGGACGAACTGGAGAATAGCCACACAGCCACAAAACCCCAGAATGACCTCTAGCCTCTATCTTCAAGACTGAAAGCAGCAAATTTCTGGCTCCTTAAGAACAACCACTTTCCAAACACAACTGGAGGATTCTTCCCTGAAGAGACGACCTCCTAATATTGACATTCGATGTCTGGCACATCATCTGCGCAACTTGTGGTGAATCTAGTGCTTCTCAAAACATAATATGCACTTGAATCACCTAGTGATCTTGTTAAAATGCAGATTCTAAATCTGTTGATTACAGATTTAGGCTGAGGTTCTGTAGGCTGAGGTTCTCCATTTCCAGTGAGCTCCCAGATGATGTCAATGCTGCTGGTCCTTTTTGAGTAGCAAGGAGCCAGTCAACTCATCTTGCCCAAACACTTAAGAGTCTCCACTCGGCTTTTCAGTGTCTCATTCTTAAAGATGAATAGATTGCTAAAGAAGACCGAAGTTTCAGATGGCCATTAACATAAGGGTTGCCAAAAAATTAGCATTAAAAAGGACCCAAGGAAACAGAGACAAAGCAGAGAGGAAAAGAAAAACTGAAAACAAATTTACTGTTATAATATCCTCACAGATAGGAAAAGTTATGCCTGTCCATAAAACCAGGATAAAATAACACGGAAAAGAGACACTCAGCAGGAAAAAAGTTCTTGGGAATTAAAAATAAGAAAACTGAAACTTCAGCCTTGTACAACATAGGGAGACCTCACCTCTACAAAAATCAAAAAATTAGCCAGATGTGGTGGCACAAGTCTGTGGTCCCAGCTACTTGGAAGGCTGAGGTGGGAGGTTCGCTTGAGCCAATGAGCTAAGACTGCCAACTGCACTCTAGCCTGGGCAACAGAGCAAGACCCCATCTCAAAAAAAAAATTGAAATGGTTGAAGATAATGCAAGGAGACACCCCACAGTAAAAAACAAACAGTGGGTTGGTTGAGAGTTCAGTTTTGCAAGATGAAAAGAGCATTTTGTTTTTTGTGTTTTTTCTTTAAGACAAATTATCTGTCATAAAGACTGGAGTGCAGTGGCGTGATCCTAGCTCACTGTAGCCTAAAACTCCTGGACTCAAGCAATCCTCCCTGCACACCCTCCCAAAGTATTAGGATTACAGGCACGGGCCACCATGCTCAGCTCTATGAATTTCTACTTTGAATCAGTGCTCAGTACAACAAATTGAGAAAGTGGTACAGGTGGCTCATGCCTGTAATTCCAGCACTTGGGGAGGCCAAGGCAGGCAGATCACGAGGTTAGCAGTACAAAAACAGCCTGGCAACATAGTGAAATCCCATCTCTCCTAAAAATACAAAAATTATTAGCCTGGCATGGTGGCATGCACCCGTAGTCCCAGCTATTCAGGAGGCTGAGGAAGGAGAATTGCTTGAACCCAGGAGGCAGAGGTTGCTGTGAACCAAGATCGTGCCATTGCACTCCAGCTTGGGTAACAGAGCAAGACTCCATCTCAAAAAAAAGAAAAAAGAAAAGAAAGTGGTACAATAAAGCACATCATTATAAAATTTCTAACCAACAGGTTAAAGAGAGAAAATCCTAAGGCCTCCTCCGCAGATGGGGGAGATGGATCAGAAAGGATCAGAAATATAAATCGGAATTTTTTTAATTGCAACCCTAGAAGGTATAAGAAAATGTAGTATACCTCCAAAATAATAAGGGAAAATTATTTTCAAACTTAAATATCTAGCCCAACAACAGATCAAGTGTTAAACAGAAGTAAGACATTTACAAATATGCGAAGATTTTAACAACATGTATCCCCCAGCTCCTTTTCTCAGGAAGCTACTAAAGGAGATGCTTTAGCAAAACAAGGAAGTAAACCAAGAAAGAGGAAGACATGGGATCTAGGAAATGGGGAAAACCAGCCCAGAACAGCAATGAAGGAAAATTCCAGAATGACAGCAAGTCTAGTGAGCAGCCAGTCCAGACTGAAACAAGAGGAAGGAAGGCTCTGGGACCAAAGCTCCAAAGAAAACTTACATATTGACTATACGGAAAATATTATTGCTAGACTTTTTGATAGAGTCTTAGAGCATTTGAGGGGAAAAGCCAACTGTAAATACTGTGTTTAGAAAACCAGACAAATGAGAGAAAAGCAATAATTAACCCTAAGAAAAATGAAGGGCCATACAAACTAGAAGTCATGATTGTAGTGCATTTCTTGGCTCATCAGTAAATAATATTTGCATACATAATAATTTTAATACAGTTGGGTGCATATCATTGGTTTAACCAAAAATTGTTACACAACTATATGGTGGGCAGCAGAAGTGATAGAGTCAAGCTCTTATCTACTGTGTCAGGAAGTGAACTCATAATGCTAACAATTAACAAACCAGGAAATAATCGTATAAACATTTACTTATAAATTTTATAAATTTTTATATTTTTCTTTTTCTCTCCCGACCCTTCTCCCACCTAAACATTTACTTAGAAATATGAAGATAGGCTGGGCATGGTGGCTCACACATCTAATCCCAGCACTTTTGGGATGCCAAGGGCAGATCGCTTGAGTTCAGGAGTTCGAGGCCAGCCTGGGCGACATGGTGAAAGGCCGTCTCTACTAAAAATACAAAAATTAACCGGGCATATTGGAGGGCACCTGTAGTCCCAGCAACTTGGAGTCTGAGGTGGAAGGATCACTTGGGCCCAGGAAGATTGGAGCTGCAGTGAGCCAAGAGCATGCCATTACTCCAACCTGAGTAACAAAGTGAAACCCTACCTCAAAAAAAAAAAAAAAAAAAGGAAAGAAATATGAAGGTAAGTATCAGGATGAATTTGTGGAGTTGAGCATATTGCCTCCAAAGAGTAGGACAGGGAATTCCTTTTTTCTTTACAAGTCTTTTAGTATTATAAGCATACATATTTTAAACAATTTATAAACATTATTTTAGTTGAGATATTAATGTTAAAAAATTAGCATATTGGTCGGGCACCGTGGCTCACGCCTGTAATCCCATCATTTTGGGAGGCTGAGGCAGGCGGATCACTTGAATCCAGGAGTTTGAAACCAGCCTGCCCCATATAGCCAAACCTCGTCTCTACAAAAAATATAAAAATTAGCCCAGCATGGTGGCGTGCATCTGCAGTCCCAGCTCTTCGGGAGGCTGAAGTGGGAGATCACCTGAGCCTGGGAGGCAGAGGTTACAGTGAACCGAGATAGCGATACCACTCCAGCCTGAGTGACAGAGTGAGACACTGTCTCAAATTAAAAAAAAAAAAAATAGGTTAGCATATAATTTGGGGGGATCAGCAATATCCCGAAGCTTATCCATAGCCCGTTAAGGAATGTCTCAAAGGGCTATCTGTGCCTTAATGATAGGAGCTAGTTTCTTGTTATTTTTATCCCCACCCCAAACACATAGCAGAAAATAAATTATTTCTTCGTATGTAGAAGAGACTCAGCTAAGTTTGTTATATTCTTCCCGGAGGAGGGAAAACAAAACAAGGCATAAAGGCAGAAGGTGCAGATGTAACACAAAGATGAGTTAAGTTTCCACACGCAGGTAACAAAGAGGGTTATGTTTCTGCCAGAGGTACTGGAAGGTATAGGTTTAAAAGGCAGGAAAAAAATTATGTTCTGGACACCTGGACGCAGTTCCCCAGGCATATAGAATTGGAGGCATGGCAGGAACTCAGGGGGGCCTAAGTTGCCTATACACCCAGGTGACCTCTCATTCCTTTCCCTCATTGCCCTTTTAACAACACGGGGAATTTCACACAGGGAAAGGTTCCCCTCTCGCCCCAGCGGGCAAGGAGGCTCCTCTGCGCAGAGTTCCGTCCCCAACTGCCCCCACGTCCCACAGGTCTCCTCCTGCCCTGTGCACGCACAGGTCTGACCACTTGCTGCTTCCGTATCCCTCCTCTGAGCCTCTCCCTATCCTCTCGGCCTCCTTAAACAATTGAGAATGTGTTTATTGTCTGTTTCCTCTACCAGACTCTAAGTTCATGAGGGCAGGACATCGTCTATTTCATTCGCCACCACATCCCCACTGCAGAGCAAGAGCCCATGAAATATTTGTTAGAGAAATGAATGAGTGATGGTGTCGCTGGACAGCTATTAGCCTGAATTGAAAAGGGTGCACCCACAGGAAACAAGCTAGGAGCAAAGAAGCCCGTTGGGAGACGACAAGGGCGAGCTTCTTGCGAGGTCTCTGAAATGACAAGACCGGAAGAACGGAGTTGGATCTCTGGGACAGGCAGGAAGGAAAAGCTAAACAATCAGGCAAGCCTCGGGGAACGTCAGCTTCGCGGGGGACGCACTGGCAGACCGCGGATGTAAGGGGGTCTGTGGGAAAGTAGAGGTGGGGCGGTGGCATCACACTTGCGCAAGCGCATCCTCCGTTTCCTCCGGCGCGCCTGCGCTCGCGTGCACAAGGGGTTGAAGCGGAAATGGCGCCGCGGGATCGCGCCTCCGGGCGGCGAGCGGAAGTGGGTGTGAGAGCGGAAGTGGCCGGCTAGAGCCGGGGGCTGGGCGGGGACCGGGCTTGTCCGTGAAGCGGCAGTGGCGGCGGCGGCGGCTCGGCAGGCGGGTTCAGGCTTCGGGGGCCAGGTCGGTTGGGTGGGTGCCTGTCTCCACAGTCTGTGTGCGTGGGCCAGCGCGTGCGTCTTACCCTTCCCTCCACCCCGGTCCCTCTCCCCTTCTCCCCTAACCTCCTACCCCACCCAGCCCCCCTCCTCAGGGGGCAGCAGGGCCGCTCTCTGTCCTTCACTCCCTTACCCACCCTCACCGGCCCTTATTTCTCCTTCCCCTGCTCGGGGCAGCCGCCGCCATGATCCTGCTGGAGGTGAACAACCGCATCATCGAGGAGACGCTCGCTCTCAAGTTCGAGAACGCGGCCGCCGGGTGAGCGCGCGCCTGGGGCTGGGGGTGGCGGGGGAGGCAGAGTTGACCCCAACTATTCCCTAGTGTCGTCCGGTCCCCCAGACCTGGAGGAGAGAAATGGGGTGCCTGGCAGGGTGTAGGGGCTGCCCCGGCGGGGTAGACGTGGGAGGCGATTGGGCGCGGCGGGGCGAGGGGTAGAGATGCGTGGGGAGAGGCTCAGAGGAGGGATGCGGAAGCGGCGAGTCTTGAGGACTGTGCGAGCCAAAGGGCAGGAGACCTGTGGGACGTGGGGGCAGCTGGGGCCGGAACTCTCGCTGGAGGAGCCCCCTGCCCGCTCGGGAGAGAAGAAGACCCCTTCCCTGTGTGAAATTCCCCGGCATTGTTCAGAACCCAGAGAGCGCCTGTTTGAAATTGGGTTGGAAGGAGTTTTTAGGAATTCCCAGGACTGAAGGAGGGAAGGAGATGCAGGCCCACATCGCCACCAGCATTCTCGTTCCCCACCCCCATCTCCTCTAAAAGGAGCAGAAGAGAAGACTGAAAGCCGACAGAGTCTCAGAGCCGGAAAAAGCGATCTCTGGTTTCCCTTCCCCGAATCCTTCTGTGAGAGACACTGGGCCATTTTGTTACATATTTTTCAAGCAAAGCCAGTTGTCTGTCGGTCCGCACCCCTTCCTTATCTCTCCTCTGAGGTTCTAACGCTCTCTCCTCATCCACTAGTCTTTATCTGGTTATCTTGTAAATTCTTATATCAAGACCCTGGTCTGTGATTTCTTCTGTGGTAACCCTGGCCCAGTGACACACTTCAAAGCCTCCAGAATCTGTAGTGCTTAGATAAGCTTTCTTTAGGGTTGGACTTTTTAAAAGGTGGGCTTAGGATATATTTCCCAGGCAGCCTTCTCTGCCAAACACAGGCATCAGTAGAAGACAACCTCCTCCTCCAAAGCTGTTTTGCTTTTCTAATATAGTATTTAAAACATGAGCTCAGGGTTTTAGGTTCTAATTTTTGGTGGCCTGTGGCCAGTCCCTTTGCCTCATTTCCCTTTCTAGGAGCGTGGGGCTTCACATCTTGGTTTCACAGTTGACGAAATAAATGCAAACTGTTTCTGGTGAACTAGTAATAGGAAAGTGTTTGGAGAGCCACAGATGGGAGATCAGTGGAGGGGAATTTTTAAGTGGCCATAATGTATTTGTGGCTTGGAGGCATTAAAAATTATTAGCTACCATTTAAACTGAATGTATAGTATGTCCTGTCTCCTTTCTAAGGCTATGGATTTTATCTGTAAAACAAAGCACTACTTTCTTGAAGTTAATATGTGTAGTGAGCAGTACTGTTCCCTGCCAGGGGCTGCTGTTGTTTATATTTTAGGCCGATTTGCTTCTTTCTTGTCTTAGCCTCTCTTACCAGTGTCTTTGCATTTTAAATATTCAAATGAATCAGCCCAGAGTCTTATTTTGGATGATTGCTGTATACTTTTTTCTGAGCAGTGTAGCATTTAGGAGGAAGTTGAATTAACTTCTGCATTTTCACAACTGATCTTAATGCATTCTCAGGTCCAGACTAGCAAAGAATGAAGCCTGGGCGGTCCTAAGCTGATCTACAAGATAAATGGCTATGTATTTTCAAGTAGAGGCATGTCATTTAACATAGGAGTACATTCTTGTCTATTTGTGTATTTATGACTCGTGATTCCAAAATGTGCCCCATTATTCGGAATTTCACCTCTTTCTTTTAGGAAATTATTCTTTAAAAGAGTAGCTAACCATTTCAGAGGGATCAAAATAGGCCCTCAAGTCTGGAAAACATAAGTTAGAACTTCCAGGATTTTTTTTTTTTTTTTTTTTTTTTTTTTTGAGACAGTCTCACTAACTGGAGTGCAGTGACATGATCTCTGCTCACTGCAACCTTCCCCTCCCAGGTTCAAGTGATTCTCATGTCCCAGCCTCCCAAGTAGCTGGGATTACAAGCACGTGCCACTACACCTGCTAATTTTTTTATTTTTAGTAGAGATGGGTTTTCACCATGTTAGCCAGTCTGGTCTCAAACTCCTGGCCTCAAGTGACCTGCCTGCCTCAGCTTCTCAAAGTGCAGGAATTACAGATGTGAGCTGCTCCGGCTGGCCTCAGGACATTTTTTACAAAGATAGGCATTGTAGGGAAGTTGTATAGGGGGTGCATGGGTGTGTGCACGTGTGTGGGTGTGTGTATAAGTTTTGGATTTTATTCTGGCCCATCTCCCCCTTTCAGATGTGGTCTTCAATAAGTGGGCTCAAAACATTCTGCTGAAAATTGAAACTTTGAAAATCTTTTAAAAGAGCCATGATATCATGCTTAGTAGGCAGGGCTTTCCTGGAATTACAGATTTATCACCCAGCAAAAGCCTGAATGAAGCAAGTGTAAATTATCAGTCATCCCAGTAAGGTAAGGCAAGGTGCATGCCTATTCCAGAACTTCCATCAAAATTTGCCTAGTGTGATTAACATAAACATTTGTGGGATTCTACCAGGGCTCAGCTCAGGCAGCATCAGGGAAAAAAAGGGGCCAAGTTAGGGAGGAGCTAAAGGGTGAGAGGTGTTAGGGTGGAGATCAGAGAAAGACATTAAAGAAAGGGAGTAATTTGGAGGAGAAACCCTGGAGATTTGAAAGGCTTGGCTGTGTGGGAACCTGCTAGGAGAGGTCTTCTCCACCCTGCTTTTTGCACTTCTCAGAATAAACTAATTCGGGAAATTATAGTTTGGGGCAGTCTTTTGCAGAGAACAGAGTATCTTCCATCTCTGTGATGTCCAATAAGATAGCCATACAAATGGCTGGCTAAATTTAAATAAAAATTAAGGTGAAATAAAATTGAGTTCCTCAGTCACACTAACCACACTAGCCACATGTGGCTAGTAGCTATGTAGCACAGGCATAGAACATTTCTATTATTACAGAAAGTTCTATTAGACAGCACTGTTCCAGCTTCTGAAAATGAAAGCATGAGATGGTCTTAAAAATAGTTCTGTGGCATATGCTTCAGAAGATAGTTGCATTAATTTTCCTTTTGAACTTGATCTTTTTTTTATTTTTTTATTTTTATTTATTTCTATCCTCTAACATAGATCATAGGAAACAAGATTTTTTTTTTTTTTTTTTTTTTTTTAATGATTCCTCTCAGATTATCCTGCTGGATCTTCTCACCAGTGGCCTCCTACTAAAAGTATCAACTTTCTTCTGGGTGAAGTGGTGCTGTCATCTAAACTGTTGAAGAATACGTTTGGTCATTATAACCTTTTAATTTGGAGGCAGTTCAACAAAGCCTAAGGTTCATTCCTAACAGATTGCTTTTTAATTTTTTTCTACCACACTCCTGGGAAGTGGCTTATTGAAACTGTCTATATATTGTCACAAAATAATAAGTATTGGTAAATTGTCTTCCCAGCAGCCTACAAACTAAGAGAATGTGACTGACTTAAAAGCTCGGCCCAGCACTGCAGATAACATCATGCACAGATGTTATCAACAACATTGCCTTTTCATTTGGTAATTCTTAACCCAGACCCTCAATTAAAGCAAAAGTAATCAGGCAATTAATTCATTAGTATATACACCAGAAACCGTTTCATCCTCAGAAGGTAGGCCTGTCAACTTAGCTGGAGTCTGGAGTCCAAAATTGAGGAAATGCTGTCAGATGCAAATTGCTGTTGGATTTAAGTGTGTGCTGGCTCCTTGCCACAGCCAGCGCATATTGCGGGGAGCTGTGGTTCCATGAGGGGGAGTGAAACTCAGTAAGCAAGCAGTGCCAGTTGGGGTGGGTGAGAAGGGTGGGAAGAGAAATTTGAAAAAGGAATAAATTAAATCTTGCCGGTACTCTGTTCTCATTCCCAAATATATTGCATATGTCCTCAGAGAGAGAGGCTGGTTTGGAGTGATTTGGAATTACGACATTGTTTAAGCATTTAGAAGAAATGGAATGTAGTGTCTGACTTGATAAGAAGACCTGGTTGGTATTTTTACAGGTCATTGTAGTTAATTGCACACTGCTGCCTGTCCTGTGGCCTACTTGGGACCACTTTGGGTATGAAGCCCCAGAGCTATGCTGGACCAACTGATAACTCCTTATGGGCTGGGTCTATCACTTTAATCGTCTTTGTTTCCCCAGCATCCTCATTGTCAGCTCAGTAAATGGTTTCTTGAAGAAATGAATGAAGCCAGATAGAATGATTCCTTGTTTCTTTAAGAGCTGACATTTTTCTGACATTGAGTGAATTAGCTTTTAGGTCTCTTTGTTCTCCATATTTTGGGTTATGGCTTAGCAGAGAATAGGACCACCTCTTACCTAATATGATCTATTTTTATAGGCTTTGCTCAAAAGAATAATGGGAGCCTTATAGAAGATTTAAAGGAGAATGTTCAGAAACCTTTATAGTGGGCAGAATTCAATAATTCCTCTAATTCAGGACATAAGAAGGGATAAGTAGGAGAGAGACATAAAGGCCCAAATGGGGAATTGGGACCAGGCACCCTGACTCATACCTATAATCCCAGCACTTCGGGAGGCCAAGGAGGGCAGATCACTTGAGGTAAGGAGTTTGAGACCAGCCTGGCCAACATGGTGAAACCCCATCTCTACTAAAAATGAAAAAATTAACTAGGTGTGGTGGCACGCACCTGTAATCCCAACTACTCAGGAAGCTGAGGCAGGAAAACCACTTGAACCCAGGAGGTGGAGGTTGCAGTGAGACAAGACACTCACTCCAGCCTGGGTGACAGAGCAAGACCCCATCTCAAAAAAAAAAAAGAAAAGAAAAAATGGGGAATTGGATCCTAGGGTGCATTAGAAGTAAAAACCCCAAGGTTGTTAATGAGAAAAGAAGACAAGATAATACAGTTGCCAGGAGCCCTTCTGGACTGATTGTTGACATTCTAGAAGCTTCCTTAGAGAAAAGATAGAAGAAAATTGTTTCTGAAGGATTTGAGAATAGCTCTCAAAACTTAACTGAATGAATTGATTATGTTTTAGTGTCTTGGTTTGTCCAGTCAGTAACTCTGAGGACTTATCCAGCGGACTTGTTCTAGGATTGCAGACGTTATGGCAGTCTGATGCTTATAGTTCTGTTTCTCCTTGTACTGCTAACCGATTCCTGATTCAGGGAATTACCACAATCCCAAAACCTCTCCCAACTACAGCCTCAGTCTGATCTCTGACTCAACCTAGGAGAAGAACTAATTTATTGATTACTCTTTATGAACTGGGCACTGTGCTGTATGCCTTAACATGGTTTCATTTCATTTCAAAGTGTCCCGGTGTGACAGATAGTGGATCTCATATACAATTGAGAAAACTAGGGCTCTTGGGGTGGGGGTAGACATTGAGTAAGTAACTACTGTATATTAAGTAAGCGCTGTGCAGCCATTCTTCACTGTGATTCTTGACCTTGTTTATCGTACAACATGCACAGAACATCATATTTATATGGCACATTTGGGTAAATGGTCTAGCCTCTCAGAGATCCTGCTGCCTGCCCTAAGGAATATGGGGATCATTATCTTAGCATATCTGTAACTTAAGAGACACTGCTTGAGAAACTTTGCTGTACCGTAGTCCCCTCTTATCTGTGGTTTTGCTCTCTGTAGTTTCAGTTACCTGCAGTGAACCATGGTCTGGAAATATTAAATGGGAAATCCCAGAAATAAACAATCCATAAATTTTCTTTTTTTTTTCCCCCTTTCTTGTGTTTTTTTTTTTTTTTTTTGAGACAGAGTCTTGTTGTGTTACCAGGCTGGAATACAGCGGCGCGGTCTCGGCTCATTGCAACTTCCGCCTCCCAGGTTCAAGCAATTCTGCTTCAGCCTACTGTGTAGCTGGGACTACAGGCGTGCACCACCACACCCAGCTAATTTTTGTATTTTTTAGTAGAGACGGGGTTTCACCATGTTGGCCAGAATGGTCTCAATCTCTTGACCTCGTGATCCACCCACCTTGGCCTTCCAAAGTGCTGGGATTACAGGCACGAGCCACCATGCCTGGCCTGCAATCCGTAAATTTTAAATTGTGCACCATTCTGAGTAGCATAATGAAATCCTGTACTGACCTGCCCTGAACATGAATCATCTTTCTGTCAAGCATATCTACAGTATATACACTACCCTCTGTTAGTCACTTTAATAGCTGTCTAGGTTATCCGATTGACTGTCACAGCATTGTAGTGCTTGTGTTCGAGTTACCCTTATTTTACTTAATAATGGTTCCAAAGCACAGGAGTCATGATGCTGGCAATTTGGATATGCCAAAGAGAAGCCATAAAGTGATTCCTTTAAGTAAAAAAGTGACCTTGGTGTTTCTTTGCTAGGGTTCAGTACTATCCGTAGTTTTATTTGTCCACTGGGTGTCTTGGAACATATCCCCCACAGATAAGGGGAGACTACTGGACTACTGTACATACGTCATCTCGGTCTTCACACAACCTGGGAGGTAGGTGTTTTGTCCCCTTTTTGTAGAAGAGGAACCTAAGGCTCGATGACATTTGAGGAGCCTGTGGTCACATAGCCAATAAGTCCTGAATTTTAAATAACTTGCTTTTTCTCAGCCCCAGCATCCAAAATTTTAGCAGCTAATAGAACAGTAAATAAGAAAACTATTGATTTTGGGGGACCTATTTAGTGGAACACTTTTCTTACTCCTTTGTCTCTGTAATTTTAAACTACAGAAGTAAAATAACAAATACCAGGTCTTGGCATTGAGAAGCAGTCTTGAGGTGGTATACCTCACACTCAACGAACTCATTAAGGCACTGAGTTCCCTCTAACTCCCAGAAGACAGTTCATGAAGTCTCCTTTGGCCTAATGCTCTCCTCAGCAGCCTTTCTCTCTCTTCTTCAGCCCTTTATGTAGCCATAAATAATAAACTAAAATATTAATGGCAGTAATTTGACAAATATTCCTAAGTCAGACTACAGACCACTTAAGATCGATCGTAGCAACTTTTCCCACAGGGATCTGTGCTCAGGGTACTTTATGCCTAGAGAAATTTGAAATTTCAGACTCAAAGCATTTATGACTTGGAGTCCAAAGGTTATTTATTTATAGTTGATTTTTCTCAGGTCTTTTGATAAAGTAGGAGAGTGAGGAACTCAGCCCTTCTTTGGCTGAATTAAAACCTAAAAGTTAAAAAAAAAAACCTGCTAAGTGATGGAATATGAGCTTTTATGAACTCTGACTCTTCAGCACAGCCAGCCTTCCCTAGGAAAGTATGCTTCAGTGCTTCCTTCCATTGGACATCTTCTTAATATTTCATTCAGTTGGGACATGATTAATATTTCTATATTTTTGTTCTTTCCTCTTGTTTTCCAGAGGTGAGGAATGATACTGGACTCATTCATTGCCTTTGTTTCTTGGCTACAGTTTCAAAATGAAGACTCAGAAGCAGTTTAAATTTTCTTTTTTTTTTTTTTTTTAGGAGATGGGATTTCACCATCTCGGTCAGGCTGGTCTCCAACTCTAGGCCTCCCAAAGTGCTGGTATTACAGGCATGAGCCACCGTGCCCTGCCACAGTTTAAATTTTCATCTAGTTTTTGCCTCCTATTCTGAACTCACTGCTTCTCCATAAACCCTCTTGATAACCTCAATTCTTAGAGATACCCAATATACTTTGCCTACGTCACATATTGGCTTTGAAGAAGCGAGGTGAAACTGTATGATTCATGTAGGTTGATTTTCAGCAGGGCTAGCATGCTTCATAGAAGCCAGTTTCCTTGAAAGGTATTGTCTGGCCTCCGTATCAGCTTTTTAACATTCATAAACCATGATATATATTCCATTATTTCCCAGCAGCCCTGGAGAGCAACTTAGTCATGGTTCCTTTCACAGGTGATGGAGCAGAGATCATATAAAAGATACATACTTAAGAGGTCTTGAGCAAGTCAGACAAAAGTAAATGTAAAAATGTGTGTATCTTGTTTGCTAGCCCCTAAAACAAAGTAGAATCATTGAGTTACAGGTAGCTAGTTGATAAGGCAATAGAGTCTTCATTTGTTTCCTGCTTTGGACTTCAGGTCCATTCTTGTGTTATCTGTAGAGTTCCATGAGGTAAATAGGATCATTTGTATTCCCCCATTTTATTGATAATAGGGGAGAACACAAAGGTGTAAGGGTGTTAGTTTGTCCCAAAACATGAATGTGATGAGAAAGCTAAAGTTGTAAAACAGATGTCCTGACTATTCTCCCCGGTGCTTTCGTTGTGTTATTTTGTGCTATACTATCTATTTTAAGTTCAGAGCTGGAATTTAAAAAGCAAGACAAAACTAGGGTAGAACTAAAGAGGGCTTTGTGAAGGTGAGTGGTAAGTCCTTTGATGATGTAAAGAAAGAGAGAAAGATGAGTAGGAAGACTTACAGATGGGTTTTGAAGTGGAATCGAACTTGCTGTTTTGTTTATGGAATTACCCTTTCACTTCAAGCATATTAAAACCATTCTACATTATACTTAGCCAGTTTCCTGCTGAACGTATTACTCCTAATACCGCTGTGGAGTGGGAGAGGCATTGACCAAAAGATTGCTTTTTGTGGTGTACATATACAAACAGATATATAGCATGCATAGATTCAACAGCCGGTGAAAAACAAAAGCTATAGCTGACCTTCCTTTTTTGTCTTCTACTTAAAGCAAGTACAAAGGTTCAGGTTTATGAGAAAATGGATTGTTTATTCTGATTGGCTGTAACCTAAAATTTGTACAGAATGGTTTGATCTTAAATGAAGCTCAAGAGCTTTTCCAGTTCCCCTTGAAGGTAAGCAGCAATACAGTCATCTTAACTGAGGGCCCTTTTTTTGTTGTTTACAGAAACAAACCAGAAGCAGTAGAAGTAACATTTGCAGGTAAGCATCTTTATCTCAACCTTCTTAAGAGAAGGCACAATATGAAAAATAGGAAATAGGCCGGGTGTGGTGGTGCATGCCTGTAACCCCAGCACTTTGGGAGGCCGAGGCAGGTGGGGTACCCGAGGTCAAAAGTTCAAGAACAGCCGGGCCAACATGATAAAACCCCGTCTCTACTAAAAATACAAAAATTAACCGGGCATGGTGGTAGGCGCCTGTTATCCCAGCTACTCAGAAGACTGAGGCAGGAGAATCACTTGAACCTGGGAAGCAGAGGTTGCAGTGAACCGAGATCGTGCCACTGCACTCCAGCATGGATGACAGAGTGAGACTCTGTCTCAAAAAAAAAGAAAAAGTAGAGAAAATAGTTTCCAAAATAAGCTTTGACATTTTGGATATTGTTCCTCATCAGGTCTTTTTGAGCTCTTTATAATAGATGACCATTTCATGTATTTAATCCATTGATGACTGACAATGTAAACTTACCTGCTGATAGATTAGAAGTTTGGATTTAATTTTGTGGTATAAACCAAGGTGTTTTTTTTTAAATTTGTAAATATTACGTTATCTTCAAGTAGCTGTCAGTCTTAGTTTGTCTAGCACTAGAGTAGTAGGGAAACGTGAACAGCTAAAGACCTGTTCATCAAGTCAGAGAGATGTTGCTGCTTTCTATTCCCTATAAAGAATTAGGTGTTGGTACTATTCACTTGTTACGTGAATGAACTCAGAGGAATTATACAACTACCCTTTCTAAAACCAGAGTCCTTGACAAGATGATCTTGGAAGACTTTTGCAGCTCTGAAGTGCTGTTATTGGAGGCCAGGCACTATCCCTTTACCCGTCTAACTGGCAATGCCAGATATCCCTTCCTGATTCTCACGACAGCTCCCTAAAGTGATGGCACTCAGCACCTAGTTCTAGTTTCAGGAACCTATTCCTAGTTTCAGGAATTACATAAGCTGAATCTGTCTTGCAGAAAGATAGAACCCAAAAAGAGGAGAGTCCTATAGATTAGAAGCAACTTAAAAGATAAACCAAATGTAATGTATAGATTTTTTTTTTTTTTTTTTTTTTTTTTAGAGACGGAGTTTCGCTCTTGTTACCCAGGTTGGAGTGCAATGGCACGATCTCGGCTCACCACAACCTCCGCCTCCTGGCTTCAGGCAATTCTCCTGCCTCAGCCTCCTGAGTAGCTGGGATTACAGGCACGCACCACCATGCCCAGCTAATATTTTGAATTTTTAGTAGAGACAGGGTTTCACCATGTTGACCAGGATGGTCTCTATCTCTTGACCTTGTGATCCACCCGTTTCGGCCTCCCAAAGTGCTGGGATTACAGGCTTGAGCCACCGCGCCTGGCCATAATGTATGGATATTGTTTGTATCTTTTTTTTTTATACAGAGTCTCACTCAGTCTCCAGGCTGGAGTGCAGTGGTGCAGTTTCTGCCTCCCAGGTTCAAGAGATTCTCCTGCCTCAGCCTCCCAGGTAGCTGGTACTACAGGCACACACTACCACACCCAGCTAATTTTGTATTTTTAGTAGACAGGGTTTCATCAGAGTGGCCAGGATGGTCTCTCTCTCTTGACCTCATGATCTGCCCGCCTCGGCCTCCCAAAGTGCAAGTGCTGGGATTACAGGCGTGAGCCACCACACCCAGCCTTTTTTTTTTTTTTTTTTTTTTTTTTGAAACAGAGTCTCCCTCTTTTGCCCAGGCTGGAATGCGGTAGGACAATCTCAGCCAACTGCAACCTATGCCTCCTAGAATCAAGCAATTTTTCTGCCTCAGGCTCCCAGGTAGCTGGGACTACAGGCACACACCACCACGACCAGCTAGTTTTTTTGTATTTTTAGTAAGAGATGGGGTTTCACCATATTGGCCAGGCTGGTCTCGAACTCCTGACCTAGTGATCCGCCCGCCTTGGCCTCCCAAAGTGCTGAGATTACAGGCTTGAGCCACTGTGCCTGGCCTTGACTGAATATTTGATATTAAGAAATTGTTTTTAAAAATTTAGGCATGACAGTAGTATTGTGGCTATTTTTTTTTTTTAACAAATAGTCTTCTGTATCTTCCAAAGATATATTCTGAAGTATTTATGGATGAAATTATGTGTTGTGTCTGGGATTTGCTTTGAAATAAATCATTGGGAAGGAGGGCGTCTAAATGAAACAAGAATTGGCCATGTATTAATAATTGTTGAGGCCGGGTGTGGTGGCTCACACCCGTAATCCCAACACTTTGGGAGGCCAAGGTGGTCAGATTATGAGGTCAAGAGTTCAAGACCAGCCTGGCCAACATAAAAAACCCTGTTTCTACTAAAAATACAAAAATTAGCTGGGCGTGGTAGCATGTGCCTGGAGTCCTAAGCTACTCAGGAGGCTGAGGCAGGAGAATCACTTGAACCCAGGAGGCAAAGGTTACAGTGAGCCAAGACCACGCCATTGCACTCCGGCCTGGGTGACAGAGTCAGACTCTGTCTCAAAAAAAAAAAAAAAATTGTTTAAGCCTTATGATGGGGATAGGAGTTCATTATACTGTTCGTTCTGCTTAAATACATGTTTAAAATCCAATTATTTCAGCACCAAGCTATGATTAAGGAAGGAATAGCTTTGTAATTTTAAGGAAGAGCAAAGAGATGAGTACTCACTATTTCTTTCTCAGTGTTTCTGCTGATTTGTTACATGGAAGTAAAACAAATTCCATTTTACTTATATGCCTCCTTGTAAGAGGTCTTCTTGTGGCCTACAGCAAGGTAGGTGCTTGGAGAGATTATTTCCCACTCCCAAGTTGTTAAGCAATCTTATTTGCCTTCCTCACAGATTTCGATGGGGTCCTCTATCATATTTCAAATCCTAATGGAGATAAAACAAAAGTGATGGTCAGTATTTCTTTGAAATTCTACAAGGAACTTCAGGCACATGGTGCTGATGAGGTAAGATCTACATCATTTTCCTTAGGACTCTTGTTTCCTCACCTTTTATTGGCAGCTTGCCATTCATGGAAGATTCATGGCACTAAATCACCCCGGCTGGGCAATATGCTCACCTAACTAGGGGCTCTTGACTTGATTGCTGTAATGAATTAAGTGTGTTTCCCAGAAAAGGTTTTGACTCTTTGCTTGCTTACTTTAAAACAATGGAAACAAAAACAGCTTTAGTTCTCCAAAAACAGCAAAGAATACTTTTCCTTGATCAGTACAAGAATAGCTGTTGTAAGAGTTAGGTTCTGTTCTATTTTTGTAATATTTATCAAGGCAGATAGATAACTTCTGGCTTGCTTAAGTTTTATAGTCTCAGGTTCTCATTCTGGAAATTTAGGCACAAATAGCTGTCTTTTGACATTTTTAATTTAATGTTCTTTAAAGCTTACCCTCTTTAACTATCTCTTCTTCTTTATAACTACCTTAGAGGAAATAAGAAGGGATGTCCAGACACCAGACATTATGAAACTTTGGTGGCCTTGCCTTGTTCACTGGCTTCTTTGAATAGTTAAGTAGCAGGTTTGGTTCCTGTTGAACTGTATTTGCTCTGGGGCGAGCCATTTATGGAAGAAAGAAAATGCTATTACAGCAGCGTGTGCACGTTGTGGTTGGGTCTCAAAGCAGGAAATATGACTCAGTTCCTGAATCAGTTTTCAAATTTCTTATTGTTAACAAACTAGGTTCTCCTTAATCTGTTAAATGAAGATGTAGCCATAGCTGTTTTCTTTCTGAGGAGTAGCTTTTGAATTATTTAAAATTTATATAATAAAAAATGGTTTATAAAGGAATATGACCAAAAGCGTGATTAATTTTTTAGCATAAAAACTAAAATTGGTCTTACTTAATACCAAGAGCCATAGGTTGCTTCCCTTAGTTATTCAAAGGCAATTGATTTACTCATAAATTCAAAGAAGTAAGAAACATTTAGAGAATTTGGAATACAGGTTACTTTACTGGAGAAAGAAAAGCTTCAGGAAGAAGACCTAATCCCTAAAAGCTTACAAAGAATTTTTTTGCAAAAGATAGTGACTGACACTTCTTTACCTGATAAAGAGTGAAAGAAAACAAATGGCTGTTAAAGCAGCCCAGCTTTTTTTCTCTCTCTGTGCGTGCGTGCGTGTGTGTATGTGTTGGAGTCTCACTGTGTGTGCGTGTGTGTTTGTTGGAGTCTCACTGTGTGCATGTGTGTGTGTTGGAGTCTCAGTGTGTGTGTGTGTGTGTGTGTGTGTGTGTGTCTCATTCTGTTGCCCAGGCTGGTCTGTAGTGGCGCCATCGCGGCTCACTGCAACCTCCACCTCCTTGGTTCAAGCAGTTCTCCTGCCTTAGCCTCCTGAATAGCTGGAATTAGAGGCACACACCACTACAGCCAGCTAATTTTTGTATTTTTTTGTAGAGATGGGGTTTCATCGTGTTGGCTGGGCTGCTCTCAAGCTTCTGACCTCAGGTGATCAGCCTCCCTTGGCCTCCCAAAATGCTAGGATTACAGGCTTGAGCCTCAGCGCCCAGTTGTTGTTGTTGTTTCTTGTTTTTTTTGTTTGGTTGGTTTTGTTTTGGTTTGATTTGGTTTTTTTGACAAGATCTTGCTCTGTCATCTAGGCTGGAGTGCAGTGGCACAGTCACAGCTACTACGCCCTCAACCTCCCAGGTTCAAGTGGTCCTCCCACCTCAGCTTCCTGAGTGGCTGGAACTACAGGCACATGCTACCACACCTGGCTCATTTTTTGGTTCTTTTATAGAGAGGAGGTTCCACTATGTTACCCAGGCTGGTCTCAAACTCCTGGGCTCGAGCAATCCTCCTTCCTGGGCCTCCCAAAGTGCTTGGATTATAGACATGAGCCACCACACCCAGCTGTAGCCCTGCTTTGGATTAGCTATAACTACCCGAAAAGAAGTGTTAAATATTTGAACAGCATTTTTAAAATTGTGTAATCATTCTCCCTAGACAGTCTTCACTAGGTGCAAGCCTGCACAGTGGCATGCACCTGTAGGGCCAGCTACTTAGGGGGTTGAAGTGGGGAGGGTCTTGGAGACCAGAAGTTCAAGTCCAGCCTGGACAGCATAGCGAGACTCCATCTCAAAAAAATGAGAAAATCTAAATACAATAATAATACTCCTAGAAAGAAAGAGTTAAGCTAGATTTCTTTTTTCAATTTTATTTGTTTATATTTTTAGAGATGAGGTCTCACTATGTTTCCCAGGCTGGAGTGCAGTGGCTATTCACAGGTGTGATCCCACTGCTGATCAGCACAGGAGTTGTGACCTGCTCTGTTTCCGACCTGGACCAGTTCACCTCTCCTTAGGCAACCTGGTGGTCCCCTGCTCCTGGGAGGTCACTGTGTTGATGCCAAACTTAGTGCAGACACCTGATTAGTATAGCACACTACAACCCAGGATTCCTGGGCTCAAGCAATCCTCCCACCTCAGCCTCCCAATTAGCTGGGACTACAGGCATGCCCCACCATGTCTGGCAAGCTAGATTTCTTATATCTCCTTTCCATTCTGTGCTTTTCTAACAGTGGAGCTCCAGAACACGTTGTTATTCTTGTAGCCACCACAAGGGTCAAAGAACCAACCCCACCCACTCAAGTGGGTGGAGTAAGTAACATTCATAGTGTTGGGGCAGAGTGCACAGTAAATGGCTCCCTGGGTTGGTTAAACAGTGACCAACCCATGATAACCACAGGAAGCTTATTACTTGGTCACAGGCCATTTTTAAAGGCAAAATGCCTCTGCTGCTGGAGTGGGAAGGTAATGGTGTTGAGTGATAGGTGGCCTCCACCCATGTCCTGGTGTCATACTGGGAGAGAGGGTACAAACTGAAAAGTGAGTCATGGTTAAAAGTGCAAGTGAAGTAACAAGGAAGCGTTGGCTGGTTTTACTAAGGGGAGGGAACAAAGGAGTTGAACATGATAGAAATTTGGCTCTCGGTACCTCTTATCTCAGAATATTAACTTTGTAAGCTTGAAATTAAACTAAATCTTAGGGATTTGAACTAAATCTGAGGTATCTCCCACATCTGATTTCCCCTTCCTCAAAATACCAATAGTACGTGCAACACAGAATGGTAGCTCAGAGGTAGCATGCTGTTTCAAATTCTTGGGATATGCATGTTACTTTTTTAAAAGAAGTGGTATATCAGACACCTGAAGGTCAAGTCTCTCTGTGTCACCAACAAACTCTTGTGACCTTGAGCCCCTCCTCTCAGTTCCTCTTTGGTAAAAGAGATGCCTCACAGTGGTTGTGCAATCACCAAATAGGAACTACATTTGGCATTATTTATCTTTTGCCCTTGTATAAAAAAATACAGTTTTGCAGGTTGAAAGTTTGTTCTAGCTGTAGGAAAATGGTTAAATAAGTATATGGAATATTAAGAAATTATTGTTGGGCCCATGCCTGTAATCCCAGCACTTTTGGAGGCCAAGGCAGGAGCATCGCTTGAGGCCAAGAGTTCAAGCCCAGCCTGAGCAACGTAGTGAGACCCTGTCTCTGTATAAATAAAGAGGCCGGGCACGGTGGCTCACACCTATAATCCCAGACTTTGGGAAGCCAAGACAGGTGGGTTGCTTGAGGTCAGGAATTTGAGACTAGCCTGGCCGACATGGTGAAATGCAATCTCAACTAAAAAATACAAAAATTAGGGCCGGGCACGGTGGCTCACGCCTGTAATCCGAGCACTTTCGGAGGCCGAGGCTGGTGGATCACAAGGTCAGGAGATCGAGACCATCCTGGTCAACATGGTGAAATCCCATCTCTACTAAAAATACAAAAATTAGGCATGGTGGTACTTGCCTGTGGTCCCAGCTACCAGGAGGCTGAGGCAGAAGAATTGCTTGAACCTAGGAGGCGGAGGTTGCAGTGAGCTAAGATGCACCATTGCACTCCAGCCTGGGTAACGAGAGCAAAACTCCATCTCAAAATAAATAAATAAATTAAATAAATAAATATAATTAATTAATTAATTAGCTGGACATAGTGACGGGCACCTGTAATCCAAGCTACTAGGGGCTGAGGCAGGAGAATTGCTTGAACCCAGGAGGCAGAGGCTGCAGTGAGCCGAGATCACGCCACTGCACACCAGCCTGGGCAACAATAAGACTCCATCTCAAAAAATAAATAAATAAAATAAAATGTTGGTTTCTTAAGCCATGTCATTCTGAAAGCAGTTTTCACCAGGTGAAGCAGTCACAGTGGCAGAGAAAAAAAATAGGGAGTCTCGGTCTGTTTTTTGTTGCTATAACAGTATACCACAGACTGAATAGTTAATGAAGAAAATATGATTATTTGACTCACGTTCTGGGGCTGGGAAATCCAAGAGCATGGCACCAGCCCTTTCCCATCATCCTATAGCAAAAGGCAGAAGGGCAAGAGAGGGCTAGACTTTTTTTTTTTCTAACAACCCTTCTTGTGATAACAAACATCCCCTGTAAGTAACAACATTTATCCATTCAGGAGGACAGAGCCCTCACGGCCTAATCGCCTGTTACATCACAGTGGCAGTTAAATTTCAACATGTGTCCAGGCATGGTGGCTCACTGCTATAATCCCAGCACTTTGGGAGGCTAAGGTAGAAGGATCACTTGAGCCCAGAAGTTCAGGACTGCAGTGAGCTATTGCATCACTGCACTCTCACCTGGAATACAGAGTGAGACCTTGTCTCCAAAAAAAAAAAAAAAAATCATAAATTTTGGCCGAGCATGGTGACTCACGACCAGTAATCTCAGCATTTTGGGAGGGCAAGGTGGGCGGATCACTTGAGGTCAGGAGTTTGAGACCAGCCTGGCCGACAAGGTGAAAACCCCGTCTCTACTAAAAATACAAAAATTAACCATTGTGATGCACACCTGTAGTCCCAGTTACTCGGGAGGCTGAGGCAGGAGAATCACCTGAACCTGGGAGGTGGAGGTTGCAATAAGCTGAAACCGCACCACTGCACTCCAGCCTGGACAACAGAGTGAAATTCCCATCTCAAAAAAAAAAAGTCATAAATTTTAACATGAGTTTTCAAAAGGACATTCCAACCATAGCAGAAGGTATAAAAGGGGTTCTTGGTTTTTTGGGTATTTTTTGTTGTTGTTTTCATTTAATTCAAAAACCTGGAAAGTAACAACATAGGTTCTGGTGGGGAAAAGACATGTAGAGTGTACAACCTTCTATAGACACCATATTAATAACTAGCTGAGATTTCATTATTCACTGTCGTTTGCCTTAAAAGCTGGTTATGCACTGAGTAATTTTAAAACATACAAGATAGCAGACAAACAGATGAGTTCCCAGCAGTCCTGGTTTTTCCTCTTCGTTCACCTGGGTTAGTGGCTCAGCCTGTGCTTAGGTTGATGACTTAACAATCTGTTCTCTCACTTACATTTGCCATCCTTTTGCTGTTCTGAAAACAAAACATGGTTAAGTACAATGTGGAATCTAGAGGAGAACAGAGAATATATTAAGGGTATAGTCAAGTCCTAAAAAAGTAAAGGATGAGCTTTGATTAAAGATTCTCATCTCAGCTTTGTGGCCTGTTTAGTGACTAAACCCACTTCCCCTCTGTCTCTCCTTTCTCATCCACCAAATGAAAGTTAGGAAGAATGCTGACTTAGAAAAAGCTTGGCAAGTACAGTACTTTAAAAATAATGAAATTATTATGGCCTTTGGATTAACGTATGTGGTTTTGTTTTGTTTTTATTTTCTAGTTATTAAAGAGGGTGTACGGGAGTTTCTTGGTAAATCCAGAATCAGGTATGTAGTCATGTTAGCAACTATGGAATGATGTGGGAAGAGAGGTGTCCTTTATACATTACACTTTTTTTACCCAAAGGATCTTATTTAAATATTACAAATATTTCTGCATGAACCCATTCCTAATTCAGTTCTCTCCATAAAAATAGCTTTTAAGAGGCTTCGCTTTGTCCAATATGGAACACAGTAGAGGGTACAAAGCTGATGTTTGGTATTATTAACGTTTACTTGACGAGGCCACATGACCCTTACTTAATCTTTCAGACAGAGGGCCACATTTGTTTGTTCGTGGTGATTAAAATGCCTTTGAAAAGAATGAGCAAACATTGATTCCCACCCTCAGCCCTTAATAACACCTTTTTTCTGCATACTACGTCTTTGGAGAAGGAAGAGGAACATTCACAGCACTATTCTTGTGATTTCAAGTAATAAAAATATCAGACTCTTTCTTAATCCAGTCTTCTAATAGGTGGTCTCAGCATTTATGGCCAGAGGAATTGAAAGGCACCATGTCATCCTTGAATAGAACAGCTATGTTACACTGCTTTCAAGGAGGTTTAAATCGAACAGCCTTTTACCCTGTGATTCAGCGGCATGTCTCAAATTCTGAGGCATTTAGCAGGACCCCAAAGTGAGAACCAGGTAGTAAGACCATTGGAACATAATACTTTTTACTCAACTGTTATAACTTAGATACCTTAATTAGAAGTCTTCTAAGAAGGAAGTTCTCTGTCACTCTTTTTTTTTTTTTTTTTTTTTTTTTTAAGACAGAGTTTTGCTCTTATTTCTTGTTGCCCAGGCTGGAGTGCAATGGCATGATCTTGGCTCACTGCAACCTCTGCCTCCCAGGTTCAAGCAGTTCTCTGCCTCAGCCTCCTGAGTAGCTGGGATTACAGGTTGCCACTACCATACGCAGATAATTTTTGTATTTCTAGTAGAGATGGGGTTTCACAATGTTGGCCAGGCTGGTCTTGAACTCCTGACCTTGTGATCTGCCTGCCTTGGCCTCCCAAAATGCTGGGATTACAGGCGTTAGCCACCGCGCCTTTGTCACTGTTAGCAGTTGCTGGTGCTAGCTTACTTCGTCACTTCACCTATTATTTTTAGACAGTCTCATTCTGTTGTCCAGGCTGGGATGCAGTGGTCCAGTCATAGCTCATTGCAACCTCCTTCAAATCTTGGGCTCAAGCAGTCCTTCCACTTTAGCCTCTCAGTAGCTGGGAACTACAGGCCCTCGCCACCATACCCAGCTAATTTTTTTATTTTTTCGTAGAAACAGGGTCTCACTGGCTGCTCGCCAGACTGCCAGAACAGACTAAGGAGGTCTCAAACTCCTAGCCTCAAGCAATCCACCCACCTCGGCCTCAGCCTCCCAGAAAGTTGGGATTACAGCCATGAGCTACCATACCTAGCACCTTTTTTTTTTTTTTTTAATCTCCAAATTGGTGAGATGAATGTGTCACAGAAATAAAAGCCAAGATAACACTGTAGGCTTTTGGCAGTATCATCATATTAAAGAAAGAGAAGTAAAGAAACATACAGATCTAGAACAGAAAAATCATGTCCAGAGTCTTGGGCATGCTTGTCAAAGCCAAAATCCTGACGTGGAAAGTATGTTTCTGTCTCTGGGCCTCCTCCTGCCTCCCACTAAATCATAGACGTCACCACATTGCAGACCCTGTCTTCATACAAGTGTAAAATGTAAAAGTATGTGATAGTAGTGTCAATCAGGCACAGTGGCTCACACCAGTAATCCCAGCACTTCAGGAGGCTGAGGTGGGTGAATTGCTTGAGCCCAGGAGTTCGAGAACAGCCTGGGCAACATAGTGAGACTCCTGTCCCTCCAACCTGGATGACAGAGCAAGATTCAGTCTCAAAAAAAAGACAGTAGAGTCTCTTCTTTTTTAATGGGTTTATCTAGGCATGTTTGGGAAATCTCAGCAAATCATACTAGATTTTTACTTCTCTTCATCCTTAGAAGCCTTACTTAGAAACAGATTTTAGCTTAGCTGTAGTTTTATTTGCTTTGTTTTATTTGGCTTCCTAAAACAAGCAAACCTCAGCTCTAAATCTTTTCTTTTTTCATCTAGCCTTGTAGTCTGTGTGTTTATCTGGTTTTCAGCTACCCAAAATGGAATCATGTTATTTAATACTGGAGTGCCAAAAATGTGCTAAGCATTATCTATTCCAAAGATTTAGACACCCATCCTTCCAAAGAGCCCCTGCTCAACAAAAAACGTAGACCTCAGGAATACTTTTGAGAAAAAATGAAATAGTAATGAGGTGTAAAGTTTTCAGATACTTAGAAGTGTGAAATCCATACATACAGTTCTGGCAAAGTTATTCCCGTCAGTTGCCTAGAATATAAAATGATCCTCAGTGATACACAAATATTCTTGCGAAAATATCTCTAGGCCTTTTGACACTTATTAACCATTTGATTCGCTAATCAAGTGTTCCAGCCCTGCTTCCAGGAATTCATAGTGGACATGCTGTCAAGGCAGGTCAGCCAGTGGTTTCAGTACCTGTTCTGCACCTGTTGTGATGACCTATCATGTTCCACTCATTTTAAGTACTATACATTTTTTTAATGCTCACAACAGTCTCCCCTATCTCCATAGCCCTCCCCACTTTTTTTTTTTTTTTTAGAAACAGAGGTTCGCCCTTGTTGCCTAGGCTGAAGTACAGTGGAGCGATCTCAGCTCACTACAACCTTCGCCTCCCAGTTCAAGCGATTCTCCTGCCTCAGCGTCCTAAGTAGCTGGGATTACAAGCACCCACCACTATGCCTGGCTAATTTTTGTATATTTAGTAGAGATGGGGTTTCTCTATGTTGGCCAGGCTGGTCTCCAACTCCTGACCTCAGGTGATCTGCCCGCCTCAGCCTCCCAAAGTGCTGGGATTATAGGCATGAGCCACTGCACTTGACAATTTTTTTTAAGGTCACGAAATGACAAGGCCAGGATTTGGACCCAGTTCTGTTCAACTCAAAATAGAGTGCCCTACACTTACGTATCATGCTGCGCTTGACAAGTCACGTCACTTTGAATCTCCTTTCCCTCCGTAAAACAGTAACCTTACCTAACCTGCAGACTTCAGAGCATTGTTACGGAGATCAAATGAAGTAAAATGTTCTTAAAAATACTAAAAGTTTTACAATGTATACCAGTAAAAGCTACTGGGGAGATATATGTATGAACAGATAGTTGGTTTTTCTACCCTTCCTCCTCAGAGTTGGCAGTGGCACGGAGAATGGTCTATATTATTATCACAAAGCTACCCATGTGTTGGCCGTATTGATACTTGGCACATTAAACTATCAGAGAAAGATATGTGGCTCCTTTACAACTGTATCTGGAAGAGTAAAAAGTAAATTTCCAATCAGAGTTCACAGGTTATGACTTTCTCCCCATTACATATTTGTAATCAGTCGTCTTTGATACTGATTCAAATTTTTTATTAACATTAGTTAAGGCTGGGCGTGGTGGCTCATGCCTGTAATCCCAGCACTTTGGGAATCCAAGGCCGGTGGATTGCCTGAGGTCAGGAATTCAAGACCTGTCTGACGAACACGGTGAAACCCCCTCTCTAAAAATAGAAAACAGTTGGCTTAGCATGGTGGTGTGCGCCAGATCCCTGCTACTTGGGTGGCTGAGGCAGGGGAATTGCTTGAACAGGGAGGAGGAGGTTGCAGTGAGCTGAGGTCACACCACTGCACTCCAGCCTGGGCAACAGAGCAAGACTCCGTCTCAAAAAAAAAAAAAAACCTTGTTCATTCTATATATTTATAAGAATCTTATAAAAAATTAAGATTTTATTTCACCTCATTTTGCCCTGCGAGGTAAATGGAAATGGACTACCTGGATTGAAAGTACAGACACTGAGACAAAGTTAAAATGTCAGTAGAACCTAGAAAAAAAATTGTTTAATTGCCTCTAGTCTCTATTTACTTGGTTGAGATAGTATGCTGCTTTTTTTTTTTTTTTTTTAATATAACTGCTGGTTTGTTTCCTCCCTCCAGGATACAATGTCTCTTTGCTATACGACCTTGAAAATCTGCCTGCATCCAAGGATTCCATTGTGCATCAAGCTGGCATGTTGAAGCGAAATTGTTTTGCCTCTGTCTTTGAAAAATACTTCCAATTCCAAGAAGAGGGCAAGGAAGGAGAGAACAGGGCAGTTATCCATTATAGGGATGATGAGACCATGTGAGTATAGAATTTGGTCCTAAAGCCTGGATATGGCCGTCTCACCACCATGGCACCTACTGAAAGAAATATGGCTTGGTCAAACCTTAAGCTATATTGTGTGAAAGTGTTTTTATCATAAAATGTCTTAAGCCGGGATGTAGATGATAGGGCAGAAATCAACCACTCTTCATACTCTCCAGATACTGAGAGCTGACAGATGGTGGCAAGAGAATCCAGTGCTGGCCGGGCGCGGTGGCTCAAGCCTGTAATCCCAGCACTTTGGGAGGCCGAGGTGGGTGGATCACAAGGTCAAGAGATCGAGACCATCCTGGTCAACATGGTGAAACCCCGTCCCTACTAAAAATACAAAAAATTAGCTGGGCATGGTGGCGCGTGCCTATAATCCCAGCTACCGAGGAGGCTGAGGCAGGAGAATTGCCTGAACTCAGGAGGCGGAGCTTGCAGTGAGCCAAAATTGCGCCATTGCACTCCAGCCTGGGTAACAAGAGCAAAACTCCGTCTCAAAAAAAAAAAAAAGAGAGAATCCAGTGCTTTCCTTTAAGGCACCACTGTTCTGAGTCCTCTTTAAGAGGATAGCCTTGATAGTCAGCAGGCAGAGTGACCATAGGTTCCATGTTATATTTATAAGACAGTAAAATCTACTTCTGATATAATTTCCATCTCCTGCCTGTCTCAGGGCAGGGCATTCATGTTTTACACTGACTTGTTGACCATGAATATCATCTCATTTGGCATGCCTTTATATTATGATTCAAGAGATTTATGACTTTAGCCTTCTGATGCACTTGTACATCAAGTTATTGGCAAAACCCCTTTCTGATTCTGTACTTATCCTCCTGGGTTTTGTTCCCCTCAGGTATGTTGAGTCTAAAAAGGACAGAGTCACGGTAGTCTTCAGCACAGTGTTTAAGGATGACGACGATGTGGTCATTGGAAAGGTGTTCATGCAGGTATGGAGCAGACATCTTGGGGGAAAACCATGCATGGCAACTTATAACTTTGCAACAAAACATACCATAAGCATAGAAAATAAAAAGAGATCTAGCAGGTCTGTTAATGTTAGAGTTTGTTGAAAATTTAGTAGACAACTCCCCGTAAAACTCAGTGAATGTTGTTTGGTTTTGGTTTTGCTGTTGTTTTTTGGGGGGTTTTTCTGGGGGTTTTTTTGGTTTGTTGTTGTTTTTTTTTTTTTGCGATGGAGTCTTGCTCTTGTCACCCAGGCTGGAGTGGGATGGCACAATCTCGGCTCACTACAGCCTCCACCTCCTGGGTTCAAGTGATTCTCCTGCCTCAGCCTCCCGAGTAGCTGGGATTACATCCACCACACCGGGCTAATTTTTGTAATTTTAGTAGAGGCAGGGTTTTGTCATGTTGGCCAGGCTGGTCTCAAACTCCTGACCTCGAGATCCACCTTCCTCAGCCTTCCAAAGTACTGGGATTACAGGCATGAGCCACCACACCCCGGCGTTGTTGTTTTTTGAGATGGAATCTCAATCTGTCACCAGGCTGGAGTGCAGTGGCAAGATCTTGGCTCACTGCAGCCTCCTACTCCCAGATTCAAGTGATTCTCCTGCCTCAGCTTCCCGAGTAGCTGGGGCTACAGGTGCGTGCCACCATGCCCAGCTCATTTTTGTTATTTTTAGTAGAGACAGGGTTTCACCATGTTGGCCAGGCTGGTCTCTATCTCCTGATCTTGTGATCCACCCACCTCGGCCTCCCAAAATGCTGGGATTACAGGCATAGGCTACCACTCCCAGCCTGATATTTTTTTTTTTTCAGTGGTTCCAGTTTTACAGAACAGAACTAAAGGGTGAATTGAGAACTAAACATGCTAACTATAAGTGAATATTATGTATCCTTCCTACTGTCGGGTCTTTGACCTAACCTCTTGTGATTCCTCAGATTTCTAGAAAGGTCTGCTCTTGGTTTAGAATGGACTCTATAGCAAATTCTTTGGCAGTAGATAACCTGTTAACAGGTAGAGTTGTTGAACTGACAGGGTGGCCCTGAATTTGGATGGGTCACCATAGAGTACTTCCTTCACAAGAAGCTCATCTTAAGAGGAGTCATGAGAGTTAGCAGGGCATTTAGCAACTGGATTTGTGGTGTAGTTGCATTCAAGTCATTGTGTACAGTTGTTAGTTCCTGGCTCGAGGACGGTATGAGTTCATTGGTCAGGTGACATTCAGGGTGATTTCTTCTGAGATGGCTCAGCATTCCAAATCTAGTACAGTGGTGAAATTTTTTTAAAAAACATTAGTACCGTCATTCTGTTCCTTGACAGGTTGGTAAAGATTTTAAATTCTGAAGCAGACTCTCTTTTGCCAAATAGAATTGAAAGACAGCTGTGCTTAACAGTGAGGATACTTTGCATAGCCTTCTAAGTGGCTAGGGAAATCTTCAAAAGTGATATCCTTAATTTGATCCATCCCTAGTGGCTTTTGTGTTTTGGCTAATTAATCAGAAGCTCTAGTTTGGGAGTCCCTATACAGAAAAATTGGAATATTGACACTTCAGCATTTGCTAGTGCTGAACTTGATGAAAGAATATATAAATATACACATATCTCTTGGGTCCTAAAAGTAAGCCTCTAGATAGGCATTATATGTGTTTTTATGCAAAATTGACAGGGGAATTAAGTGCAGTAGCTCAGAAATTGGGCTAAATCCAGAGTAATAAACTAACTTTAAAAGCTCTGAAGTATATATTTAGATTTGGCTGGTTTTTTTACCAATCTTGTTCCATTTTATTCCAGGAAACAACTTATTTTTATACTTTAAACAGATTTTTGGAGAGTGTAACAGAGATTTGTTCCTTAGGAGAATTTTGTGTATTCTTTTTGGCATATGAATTTAAATGTCACCTTCACGGTACCTGTGTAGGGCACTTATCTAAAAGGGAAGGCAAAGCCTCTTGCACTTTGGCACAAACAGGATCTCTAGATAGTAACCGGCCTGGTGCCGTGCTATACTCAGGAAGTCATCTGCCCTGCCACCCTTTCCAAATTCAGAGGCTGAGGTAATTTGTTGAAAATGACCATCGAAAACTGGACTTCTGCTGGATTTTCCCAAAAAATAAATGGAACTTTTTCCTAGGCCTGGAATTGTACATTTCTTGGGAAAGAGAATAATGGACACCTGGCACAGAAAGTTGTACCCTGCTAACACTGAAGTTCCTCATAGTCATTAGTCTACTTGTTGCCGGCCTTTGTGGGCTTTCCCTTCCATCATGCACATCCAGCCTGATCAGAATTCAAGTCTTGCTTTTGTCATTTGGCAAGCAAGCTCCAAGGGATGCTTTTTGCCTTTCAGAAAAAGACAGGGACTTTATTCCTCCACTCTCATGGATGTCTTACTGTTAGTGGTGTGGACATACCAGCTGAGTACTGGAGAATGCCTGATAGAAGCCATCATTTCAATGCTTATTCCATGAAAAGCAATAGGACCAGTAGTTATGCTTTTGGAGATTAGCTTATGGTGAACTAGAATTCTTTTCATATTGTAAGATCTTAAATTCAAGTTAGTAATAAATAACTGGGAAAAGTTAAGTGGAAACCACTGGTTTCTATCTGTTCAGGGACAAAGACACAAGCATCTGCCTCTTAGGCAGTTGTAAAGATGTTATTTTGAGGGCTGTTTCTGCCTGTTTACATATGTGGTTATGTCTGTAGGAAATTTTCCTGAACTGAGTCTTAGTAATTTTGGTAGATATTGCCAAACTCTTCTCCATCGGAGTAGTACCATTTTATCATCCACTAGCGATGGATAGGAGTGCCTGTTTTCCCAGAGTGTGTTGTAAACTTGGATTTCTCCTGATCTCCTAGGTGAAAAGTGGTATCTCTGTCCTCTCACAAAGTCAGAACGTCTTTTCTTATGTTAAAGACCATTTGATTTGCTTAGGAAGTGTCTCTTTATGTCGTTTACCCATTATTCTGTGGGGTCATCGATCTTCTCAGTTTCTTCACATACTAGGGGGTGTGGCCTTTCATCTGTGATTAAGAGCCGAAATATTTTCTCTGCTTTGTCATTGGACTGTGTTTTATTGGTTTTTTTTCACCCATGTTGAAGTCTGTTTTTACGTAATCAAATTAATCAGTCTTGCCTTTTATGGCTTCTAGATTTTGAGTTGCAGTTAGAAAGTCCTTCCCTGCTCCAAGGTTATAAATAAATTTACCTGTGTTTTCTGAGTATTTTAAAATACAGTTTCTGAGTATTTTTAAATACCCTGTAAAATACAGTTACATATTTTATATACAATTTTTTCTTATTTGTTGAGAGCTCCTCTTGGTATATGGTATGAAAGAATTATCTATCTTTTTTCCTAAATGGCTGCCCAGTGGTCCCAATAGCAATTATTTCCATGTTTACACCCCTGATTTAAGATGCTACCTTTGTCATATACTAAATTCTTATATATATTTGGATTTATTCTGAACTTCCTATGAAAATAGTACTTTGGAAGAGAGAAATAGTCTGATGCTCAAAAGACATCCTAACCAGAAGGAAAATAAAAAGACAATGTTACTGGTTTACATATAACAAAGATGCCAATGAAGATGGATGGCTGTTTGGGTGTGTTTGTTTGTTTGTTTAAGTTTTATTTAAGAGAGAACCAAGGAGAAGCAAAGACATCAGATAATCTAAAGAATAGGCCCAGCCAGCCACAGTGGCTCACGCCTATAATCGCAGCACTTTGGGAGGCCCAGGCAGGCGGATCACTTAAAGCCAGTTTGAGATCAGCCTGACCAACATGGTGAAACCCTATTTCTACTAAAAAGGCCAAAAACTAGCTGGAGATGGTGGCACGTGCCTGTAATCTCAGCTGCTCGGAAGGCTGAGGCATGAAAGTTGCTTGAACCCAGGAGGTAGCAGTTGCAGTGAGCCAAGATTGCACCACTGCACTCCAGCCTGGGCACTAGAATAAGACCCTGTCTCAAAAAAAGAAAGAATAGGCCCAAGCCAGAAACATATTGTTGACTGAGTCTTAAATATATTATTTTCCATATACAAAACTAACGAGTGCTAATAAGTCACCACTGGTTTATAAATGCCCCATTTTGCTGTACCACAGGTACCTATGAATTGGAGCCTTAGAGACACTTAATAAACACAAGAAGATGCAGACAGTTATGTATCTGTTCTTTTTAATCCCCTAAGACTGACAAGTAAAACCAGTAGAAGTAAAAAAGCTTCATAACCCCTTTGTAGAATAAAAGATGTTTTCTAGAGAAGGGCAATTTTAGAAGCTTTGCTCTAGAAATTTCATTTGGGATAATCTTGACTCTTTCCCTTCCTTTGCAGATACTTTTCCTTTGGGGAACAAAATGTGTTCAAAAGGGGGCTAATCTAACCCAGATTGGTCTTTTCTTTTCCTACCGAAGGCTTAGTAGCATTAGCATGGGGGACAGTATATAAACTAGATGAGGTCCCAGGCTGGGCATTGGGACTCTTCAGGCATTAACTTTCCATTGTCACTAATTGGTGAGGCCTTGCTGATCAGTGTGTATTCCTCCTACCTGGAATTGGGGAAACAGCCCTGGCTCATTCCTGTACAGTGTGATGATACTCAGTCAGCTAGGGTAGAAGCAATTGCTTTCTCTCAGCAAGCCATGGGCTACATAGCCTCTTTGAAGGACAGAGGAATAAATTACAAAGAGAAATTAAGCAGGATCTTTGACTTGAACTCACAACCTGATAGTGGGGCCAGATACATAATGAAGAGTAAAATGTCATAGTAGAGGTTTGTAGAGAAGACATGGCAGCTCCAGCAAGACAGCAGCACCTGCTGGGGTTTGTTGGAGATGGCATTAGGAAGTGATAGTTGAGCAGCAGTGGAAGAGCACTGCGGGCCACATGGCTGTGTAACCATGCCTTCAGAACTCCTAAAACCAAGAGACTTTGGAGAGTCCTTGGCTGCATCCTCCTGCTGTCTATCATCTTGGAAAGCCCACTTGATGAATTTAGATCATCCAGTTTCACTGGCATTGCTAGAAAATCTGCTTCTGTTCTTGCAGATCTGACTGAGAAAGGGAAGCCTTGTATTACTTGTCTGTTTACATAGGAATGCATGGACTGTAGACCCTGAGGTTTGGAGATTGGAACATAGAAGGAAGGGCTTCCTTTATGAGCACCAAGACAACTTAGCTTCTTTCATTCCATTGTCTCTGTCCCCAAGAAGAGCTTAAGTTTGCTCTAAAGATTTTATTGATGAATTCTAAACAGCAACAGGATCTAAGATAACCTCAGTGAAATAAGACTTATGTAGAGACCCAGAGAAAGCACGGTAGTTTATCACCTATGTTGGTCCAAGGGAAAAGGATTATCAGTACTTTTCATTTCATTTTGAAGGTCTTACTTGTTAAGTACTTTGCAGTTTCTCCCTTTTGAATCTGAAGTGCAGTGGTAGCAGCTGGCACTTGTAATATTTCAGGTTTAGTGTAGTTTATTTTTAACCACCTGCTGGTCTGGAGGGCTTCAAAGGTCACACCACATAGAACAAACCCCATAGCATGAGTTGCCACTCATCTTACACCCACTTCTCTTCTGGTTGCTTTTGCTTTGTCTTGGCAGGAGTTCAAAGAAGGACGCAGAGCCAGCCACACAGCCCCACAGGTCCTCTTTAGCCACAGGGAACCTCCTCTGGAGCTGAAAGACACGGACGCCGCTGTGGGTGACAACATTGGCTACATCACCTTTGGTGAGCAGGGTGCACTTGCTGCTTTCATGCCATTTTAATGAGTTCACACTGCAAAATGCCTAAATCTGCACAGAACCTTAGTTAACATTTTAAGGTAGGCAGAAGCAGGCCTACCAAGTTGTTCCTGTTGCCATTGCTGTGTCTAAAGGAGGGATGTCACCGGGTATTAATTACAGAGCAGGCCATCTGCTATTTTTGTACAGTAATCATTTCCTTTTTTTTTTTTTTTTCCCCATTTTTCTTAAATCTTGAAGAAAAATAAGACTGAATTCTGATATCAAGAGTTAAGGAGGATGGGTATGGCGGCTCACGCCTATAATAACCCTAACACTGTGGGGCTTGAGGTGAGGAGTTGAAGACCAGCCTGGCCAATGTGGAGAAACTCTATCTCTGCCAAAAAATACAAAAAAAAATTAGCTGGGGGTGGTGGTGGCATGCATCTGTATTCCCAGCTCCTCAGGAGGCTGAGGCAGGAGAATCCCTTGACCCAGGAGGCAGAGGTTGCAGTGAACCAAGATCACACCATTGCACTCCAACCTGGGTGACAGAGTGAGACCTTGTCTCAAAAAGAAAAAAAAAAGAGTTAGGGATAGGCCAGGCACAGTGGCTCACGCTTATAACACCAGTGCTTTGGGAGGCCGAAGCTGGTGGAATGCTTGAGTCCAGGAGTTTGGGACCAGCCTGGGCAACATGGCACAACCTCATCTCTACCTGTAATCCCAGCACTTCGGGAGGCCAAGGCAGGCAGATCACTTGATGTCAGGAGTTGGAGACCAATCTGGCTAACATGGTGAAACCATGTCTCTACTAAAAATACAAAAATTAGTTGGACATGGTGGCATGTGCCTGTAGTCCCAGCCCCTCGGCCAGCTGAGGCGTGAGAATTGCTTGAATCTGGGAGGCAGAGGTTGCAGTGAGCCGAGATCATCCTGCTGTACTCCATCCTGGGCAACAAAGGGAGACTGTCTCAAAAAAAAAAAGATAGCTAGGCATGGTAGTGCATGCCTGTAAGTCACAGCTACTTGGAGGCTGAGGTGGGAGGATCACTTGAACCCAGGAGGTCAAGGCTGCAATGAGCTGTGATTGCATCACTGCACTCCAGCCTGGGTGACAGAGCAAGACCCTGTCTCACAAAAAGGAGTTAAGAAGAGAACCACCTAAGCAGCCAGATGGAAGTTCTCTGTCATTTGGCACTTCTTAGGTTTTTTTGCTTATTAAACCCAGGCTCCAGCCATGATGCACAGACTCCACTTTTTCATGGAAGAAATTCAAGTCTTCTTCAGTTGCTCCAGCCTCATGCACTAGCTGATTATGATAGCTCACAGTTTGGAGTTAACACTGTGTTCATACTGCACCTGATGCCACTGGAATGCCTCCTTTTGTGAAATGTAATTTAATTTACCTTACTAGTAAAGGTGAACCTGCTTATCTTTAAGAATAAACCAAATGTGTTGTTCTACCAAATTTCATTAAATCTGAATTGTACACTTTTCTTTCTCTCTGTCACCCAGGCTGGAGCGCAGTGGTGTGATCTTGGCTCACCACGACCTCCACTTCCCAGGCTCAAACAATTCTCGTGCCTCAGCTTCACTAGTAGCTGATACTACAGGCACATGCCACCACACTGGGCTGATTTTTGTATTTTTAGTAGCAACGGGGCTTTGCCATGTTGGCCAGGCTGATCTCAGCCACTTCGACCTCCCAAAGTGCTGGGATTACAGGCGTGTGCCACCATGCCTAGCCAGCTATAAATTTTTTTTTTCAAGATTTTATCTTTGAATCTGGGATGCATCTTACAACTCATGGCATGTCATAGTTTGATTGGCAGCATTTTTCTCTCGTACATAAAATTACGGCAGACTTATAGTCATAAGCACCTTAGATTCTTTGAAATACAGTTATCTTCTATTGTGGTATTCATTTACTTTCAGGTCAGGGCAAGTTGACACAGAAAATCCATACATCCCTAGGAGGCATTCCTTTTCATTTCAACAAAAACATCAGAGAACCTCAGGGTTTTGCAGATAGTGAGTAGGGGAAGTTCAGCAGATAAAGAAGATTCCAAAAAACCAGGGCAGGAGGGGCATGCAGGTCTGCTCCAGTGCAAAGGACCGAGTAATGACCACACAGGTCTTTTTTCTTTTTCTTTTGTGAGATGGAGTCTTGCACTGTCACCCAGGCTGGAGTGCAGTGATGCGATCTCAACTCACTCACTGCAACCTCTGCCTCCCGGATTCAGGCAATTCTCTCGCCTCAGCCTCCTGAGTAGCTGGGATTACGGGGAGACACCATCATCCCTGGATAATTTTTTTATTTTTAGTAGATATGGGGTTTCACCATGTTCCCCAGGCTGGTCTTGGACTCCTGACCTCAGATGATTTCCCCGCGTCAGCCTCCCAAAGTGCTGGGATTACAGGCATGAGCCACCGAGTCCAGCCTCACACAGGTCTTTAGGTGGCTGGTGCCACAGGGTGGACTTCACTCAGGTCCAGTCAGAGCAGCTCTTCCTACCTGGCCTATCAAGAGGGTTCAGGTGCTGGTTTTCACAGTGAGACTATGGGAAATACTCTGGCATCTTATTTTCTGTGAAGGTTTACTCTATTTCAGCACCACGGACCTAAGACGGGCAGCTGCATTTCCTAATCCTGATTCCTTAAGGTAAACTGTTATAGCCAGTTAGTGTGATTCTGGAGTATGCCCAACTGCAGAGGCAGGAGCTATAGTACATGTGCGGGAGACCAGGAATGGATTTCAAAATTCATAGCTGCAGAATCCAGACCTAGAATGGAGGCTCAGGGTCAAGCCCTGTTTTTCCATGGGCTCCTCTGTTCACACTCATTGACACCTCTCCTGGTCATGCTGTGTATCCTTCCGTGCCTCAAAAAAACAACCCTGACACAGCCTGATAATACTGACATGAGTGGAGTGTACTTCAGAGAGAGAGCGAAGTTCACTAGGCTGTTGTTCCTCCTCACCCTTTGACATTTGTGTTCTGAAGCCTTGTGTTCTCCACCTTCAGTGCTATTCCCTCGCCACACCAATGCCAGTGCTCGAGACAACACCATCAACCTGATCCACACATTCCGGGACTACCTGCACTACCACATCAAGTGCTCTAAGGTGAGGGCGGGCAGCATCTCAGCGTCTGTGCCCTGGGTCTTTCCCTCCACCAGAACTCATAACAAAAAGTCATTCCGTTAGTCTAGGCTGTGAATATTGACTCTTAGGTAGATAGTTCTAGAAGCTTCAAGAAATCATGGCCTCTCTTCATCAAGCCACTGTCCCCCTCCCCTCCCCATAGCAGAGATGACTATGTTTCCAGAATTGCTCACCTTCCTGCTTCCCTGCAGGGGAGTATTCCCAAGGTGTCTGTTCTCAGATGCCCCTGATGAAAGCAAAGCTGTCTTTCTAGACCATGACTGCGCTTCAGTACCTTCTTTTGTGTTTGTTCCCAGGCCTATATTCACACACGTATGCGGGCAAAAACATCTGACTTCCTCAAGGTGCTGAACCGCGCACGCCCAGATGCCGAGAAAAAAGAAATGAAAACAATCACGTAAGTTAGCCAGTACCCCAGCAGGACCGTCTTCTCCTGAGCCACCGAGAAGGAAGCAGTGGATGCTGGTGGCCTGGTCCTCCACGTGTCCGGGCACTGGCTACATGTGAGGCCAGCAGGGCTAAGCAGATAGACCAAAGGTGGGATTCCAGGTTTTTGCTGCCATATGGGCCAGGGTGGGTTTCCTTGTTTCCACATTTTTGTGAGCTCTGAGAATGACAGCTAGGAAATAAAGTTTACAAAGAAACTGTTACTTTTGGGCCTGAGTTCTGAGGTCAGTCTTGTCCTTCTTGTGGTCTTTCTGGAGAAATGGAATAAGTTGCTTAGGGACCTTTAATTGGGTAAATAGGGCTGAAACCACCCCACTAAGCGCTCTGTTGCCCAGGCTAGAGTACAGTGGTGCTATCTCAGCTCACTGCAACCTCTGCCTCTGGGTTCAAGCAGTTCTCCTGCCTCAGCATCCCAAGTAGCTGGGATTACAGGTATACACAGCCACACCCAGCTAATACTTTGTATTTTAGTAGAGATGGTTTCACCATGTTGCCCAGGCTGGTCTCGAACTCCTGAGCTCAGGCAATCTGCCTGCCTTGGCTTCCCAAAGTGCTGGGATTATAGGCATGAGCCACCGCACCTGGCCCATGTGCTGTCCTTTGTACCAGTTGAACTAAAAGTCTTGAAGTCATAAGCCTCCCTAACAACCAATGTGTTTGCCAACAGCCCAGTACTTTTTTGAGATGAAGTTTTGCTCTTGGTATACTGGCTGGAGTGCAAAGGCATGATTTTAGTTCGCTGCAGCCTCTGCCTCCTGGGTTGTCTTGCCTCAGCTTCCCAAGTAGCTGGGACTACAGGCACTTGCCACTATGCCAAGCTAACTTTTTTGTATTTTTAGTAGAGATGGAGTTTCACCATTTTGGCCAAGCTGGTCTCAAACTCTTGACCTCATGATCCACCGACCTTGGCCTCCCAAAGTGCTGGGATTACAGGCGTGAGCCAGCACGCCCAGCCCAGTATTCTTTTTTTTTTTTTAAGACAGAGTCTCACTCTGATCCCCAGGCTGCAGTGCAGTGGTGAACCACTGGGGTGCAAGTAATCTTTCACCCCAGCCCCCCCAAGTAGCTGAGACCACACGTATGCACCATCATAGCTGGCTAATTTTTGAAATTTGTAGAGACGGAATTTCGCCATGTTGTCCAGGCTAGTCTCGAACTCCTGGGCTCAGGTGATCCTCCTACCTCAGACTCCCAAAGTGTTGGGATAACAGACATGAGCCACTGCACCTGGCCCAGCACTCTTGAGGCAAACTTTTAGAGGGTGTGGCGTGCCCAGGGCTTTACACTCCCTCTCTTGCATTGAGGGCTCTTCTACCAAGTTAGTTTCTGCTGCCATTTAAAAGGATGAGAGAGATCCCAAGGGCCTGAGCAGTAGGGGAGGGTTTTCAGACATTTGCAAAAAGCAGGTTAAGTCACCCCTGACTTTTAGCAAAGGCCTGTCTCTGTAGCAGCTCAGAGAGGAGTGTCCAAATACCATGTAAAGAAATGGCAGCGTTGTTTATTTTCTGCAGCTTCTTAGGCAGATCCTTAAATGGACAAAGCGACCAACGAGGTGGGTGGGCAGGTGAGAGGATGTTTTCTTGCTGCTCCTCCAGAACCTGGTCTCCATCCTGGTGTCTCCATTTTCCCCTTTCCCTGCCTGCTCTACACAGGGGTGCTTTTCTCACCAGGTACCTATTTCATGACCTGGAGGGTGAGGCAACGAATTTCAAGCTGCTTTCTGGGCCCAGTAGATGGGCAGTTCCGTAGAGGCCAAGAGGTATACCAGCAGCCAGTTACAGTGAAAAGAAAGCCTGACCTGGCAGCCTGTGATTACCAGACTGAAGGCTAGGCGTCCTCATAGCCTTAGGCCTGCCTGCATCACTTTTGGCGCTGGTAGCTGCTTGTGCATCCAGGAGGAAGGCCTATCAGGCAGCTGCCACCCTATTCCACAGCCAGCGGGTAGTCTTGGGAGTCCCTGCCCAGTGAGTGCAGTTGTGTAGGTGCAGGGATAGCTCCCTGTCCTGATGAGAGACCTGGCAGAGGATGAATCCTTGAAATAAACAGTTCATCAACCTCCTCTCTGGGACTTAGAAAGAGCAACTTTGCCTTCTGTGCTGCAACTTCTCTTTGGCAGAGTTGGGCCCTAGAAAGGAGAAGCAGGAGACAAACAACTGCATCCACCCTAAAAACCAGATTATGTTACTAATGGTGGGTAGGAGTTAAGTGACTCAGCTGTGGGCAGATGCCAGGAGCCCTCGATGGTCCGCCCAGAATTGAATACTCATGAGCTTTTCATTTTGAGCGAAGGGTAAATAAGATGTAGCTTCATTTTAGAGTGAGCAATACATCCAAGACAGGGAAAATGGAGAGCCCTTGTTTTCGCCCTGATTTCCCATAGTTCTCAGCTCTAGCTTCCAGGCTACTTTCCCAGATACTGTTAGAAACAGTTACAGGCTCTGTCCTTGTGAACCAGCTAGCCAGTCTGGAGAAATAGTAGCTGGAACAGGACACCACAATTCAGGAGCCTCGAACCAGGCAAGTGTTTTGTAAGCCAGAGGAGGAGTCACCACATAACAAATGCCTTTAACCATGGAAGTTCTGAGGATTGCTTTGAACCACCTGTCCTCATAGTGACAGATGAAGGAACTGCTGTCTGAGAGCCCTGAAAGGTAGAAGCTCTGTAGGAGGAGCTGACAAATGAGGTAGTACTAAGAAGACAGATGAGCCCAGTCGGAAATTCAGTACATGTAGGCCATCCCAAAATTGTGAACAGGTGATTCTTCTGTCTAACTTGGTATTTGAATGTCCTTATGAACTTAACACTAATACTCCTGGGCGTCCAGAGTATCCGATGGGAAGGAAGAGCTGGTGAAATCATTCTTTGAAAGCCGAATTTTAGCCCATGCCCTGTGGTTCCAGTGCCTCTACTTAGGAAATCTAGCCCTTTCCACCTCTTGTTTGGTGTCTCTTTGAGATCCCATCTAGTCTAGGACTGTGGGGTGGGAGGAAAGGGCAGCCAGAAACTGACTTCACACTTCTCCTTTTGAAGGGGGAAGACGTTTTCATCCCGCTAATCTTGGGAATAAGAGGAGGAAGCGGCTGGCAACTGAAGGCTGGAACACTTGCTACTGGATAATCGTAGCTTTTAATGTTGCACCTCTTCAGGTTCCCAAGGGATTCTCCGTTTTGGTTCCATTTTGTACACGTTTGGAAAATAATCTGCAGAAACGAGCTGTGCTTGCAAGGACTTCATAGTTCCCAAGAATTTAAAAAAAAAAAAAAAGAATTCCACTTGATCAACTTAATTCCTTTTCTTTATCTTCCCTCCCTCACTTCCCTTTCCTCCCACCCTCTTTTCCAAGCTGTTTCGCTTTGCAATATGTTACTGGTAATGAGTTGCAGGATAATGCAATCTTAACTTGTTTTCTCTTAAGTATTTGAGTTCAAAACTCCTGTATCTAAAGAAATATGGTTGGGGTCATTAATAAAGAAAATCTTTCTATCTTACATGAGAATTTGCTGGGTTTCTGGACTGCGAGTCCAAAATGAGAAGAAGAATGAAGAAGGAAAGACCTATATTGCCCTTGAACCTGCAAACCTAAGCTGGGGAGCCCATCAGGTTTGGATCCTACCTCCCCTAGAGGAGAAGAGAGAATGGCTGGTCATTGAGCTACAAACTTTTTTTTTTTTTTTTTTTTTTGAGAGAAAGGGTATCATTACCTCCTGGGCTCAGGTGATCCTCCCACCTCAGCCTCTCAAGTAGCTAGGATTACAGGTGCATACCACCATGCCTGGCTAACATTTTGTGTTTTTATTGGAGATGAGGTTTTGCCATGTCGCCCAGGCTAGTCTCAAACTCCTGGATTCAGGCAGAGTCTGCTTGCTTCAGCCTCCCAAAGTGTTGGTATTACAGGCATGAGCCACGGCACCCAGCGAACTAGTATTGTAAACTTAAACATGCTTCGCTATAAAGCTTGGTCCCTGAGACTCTGGCTGCTCCAGAATAGCCAAGAAGCTCCCAGGACAGTGACAGGCAAAGTAAAGGGTTTCCTGGTTTATCCTTTTATTGTGACTAATGTCCGAAAATGTGTTCCTTAGTGTATGGTCCTGCAGTACATTGATGGGTATTCAGATGTGGATCTGACACAGGCTAACTCCACAGTTTCTTCTTCTCACATGCAGCCCAAAAAGACTGCCCTCAGAGAGAACAGTTGTCAAGTAAACACTGTACAGAGCCTAGTCGAGCGTGCTGTCCCCCAGCAGGATTCTGGTCCCTGAGATGAAGTTGCTTCAGAAAGTTGGCTTGGTGGAAGGAATCATGAGGAGAATTTTGGGGCACTGCAGTGATGTGAGGGTCACACTAATGGTTTCTGCTTTCCATCTAGGGCAGTGTTTTTCATACTGACTTCGCACCTGTTAACTGGGATGTAACCTATGTCACAAACAGCATTTTTATTTTCTAAACTTTTGATTTTGAGATAAGTGTAGAAGTAAATATGGTTAGAAGAAACAATACAGAGATCCTGTATACCTTCCATTTGGTTCCCCGCCTCCCATGCTAACGTCTTGTGTAACTGTAGTATAGCATCACAGCCAAGAAAAGTCATTGGTATAGTCCACCCACCTTCCGATTTTGCCGGTTTTACCCACACTCTTTAGTGTGTGTGGCATACATCTGTGCATTTTTATCCTGTGTAGCTTTATGTTTTGTTTTGTTTTTTTTTGAGACAGAGTTTCGCTCTTCTTACCCAGGCTGGAGTGCAATGGCATGTCTCGGCTCACCGCAACCTCCGCCTCCTGGGTTCAGGCAATTCTCCTGCCTCAGCCTCCTGAGTAGCTGGGATTACAGGCACATGCCGCCATGCCCAGCTAATTTTTTGTATTTTTAGTTGAGATAGGGTTTCACCGTGTTGACCAGGATGGTCTCAATCTCTTGACCTTGTGATCCACTGCGCCCGGCCGACACCAGCATTTTTAAGCAATTTAGTAGTATCAGAGTGCATCACATCTATTAAGGGTGAGTGTTGATTTGGAAACGTGTTTTAATTACATGTGCACATCATGACTGGATTGCAGAAATGTCTTTTGACTGTGAGTCACAGTGAAGACTTGAAAACCACAGCTCGTTCAGTCATCAGACTTCATTTTATTTCACTAAAATGGGCTGCTAGAGAGTTCGAAGCATTCTGATTTCTTTTTTTTTTTTGAGACGGAGTTTCGCTGTTGTTACCCAGACTGGAGTGCGATGGCGTGATCTCGGCTCACCGCAACCTCCACCTTCTGGATTCAAGCAATTCTCCTGCCTCAGCCTCCTGAGTAGCTGGGACTACAGGCATGTGCCACCATGACCAACTAATTTTTGTATTTTTAGTAGAGACGGGGTTTCAACTTGTTAACCAAGATGGTCTCGATCTCTTGACCTTGTGATCCACCCGCCTCGGCCTCCCAAAGTGCTGGGATTACAGGCGTGAGCCACCATGCCTGGCCAGCATTCTGATTTCCAACTGGCTGCTCAGGGTGCCCCTGACTACCCACTTGTGGTACATGGAAAACCTAGATTAGATATATTGAGAGCAGCATGTGCATTCTCAACCCATGAGTTATTTAAGAGGTTTTCAAGTGTAATTTTGACTAGAAGCAGTTTTTTGCTCTTTTTTAATTTTAGTTTTTAGTGACAGGGTCTCACTCTGTTGCCCAGGCTATACTCAAGCTCCTGACCTCCCAAGCAGCTGAAACAACAGGCACCTGCCACCATGTCCAGCTGAGCTTTTGCTTTCTTGCTTAGAACATAACTAATATGTTGGGACTCACTGTACTCTCTTGCCAGTAGCAGAAATCTGATTTCTGATAAGTACAGTAAATGGCGGAACCAAGGTTGCTTAGAAGACAGAGGTAGGAGAAAAGCCAAATGGCATAAATATTTTCTACAGTGGTAAATCCTAAGGAATAACTAGTTCCAGGACACTTTGTCCACTTTGTCAATATTAAAAATCTATCATGCAGGCTGAGCACAGTAGCCCACGCCTACAATCATAGCACTTTGAGAGAACAAGGAAGGAGGATTGCTTGAGCCCAAGAGTTTGAGACCAGCCTGGATAACAGTGAGACTCCATTTCTATGTAAAAAAAAAATCTGGTTGGGCGCATTGGCTCACGCCTATAATCCCATCACTGGGAGGCCAAGGTGGGTGAATCACCTGAGGTCAGGAGTTTGAGACCAGCCTGGCCAATGTGGTAAACTCCATGTCTACTGAAAATGCAAAAATTAGCTGGACATGGTGATGGGGTGGGCACCTGTAATCCCAGCTACTTGGGAGGCTGAGGCAGGAGAATCGTGTGAACCCAGGTGGAGGTTACAGTGAGCCGAGATCATGCCATTGCACTTCAGCCTGGGAGACAAAAGCAAAACTGTCTCAAAATAAATAAATCCATAGTGCAGCCTGGACAACATGGTGAGACCCCACCTCTACAAAAAGTTTTAAAATTAGCTGGGTGTGGTGCACGCCTGTAGTCCCAGCAGCTCAATAGGCTGAGGGGGAAGATGGCTTGAGCCCTGAAGGACAAGGCTGCAGTGAGCTGTGTTCATGCTACTCCAGTCCCGCCTGGGCAACAGAGTGAGAGACCCTGTCTCAGAAAGAAGAAAAATCCGTACTGGTGTAAAACCCTATCCAGATTAACTTCTCTTAACAAGGACACACTTGGTGTTAGTATGTATCTAGTCTCAAAGATCCTCACAGTTGAAGCAGCCCACTGTGACTAGTCAATGCCTTAGGACCTCAGGAGGAACGTCTCAGGATGAGGGTCAAACACACTAAGGGTGTGGGCTGGAAAAAGGGGATCTAGTCTGTTTCTTCCTAGTCTCAGGAAGCAAGTGCCCCAAGGGTTCACACCTGAGAGGTGTAGGTGTCTTTGGATATGAGCTGTAGAGGAACAGTTTGAATCCGTGTTCTGCCATCTAATAGCTGTGTGACAGCAAATTTCTTCATCTGAGCCCTGGTAGCCTCCTTTAAATTAGAGGTAATACCGCCTACCTGAGGGTTTGTAAAAGGAAAAGAGAGTAAATGTCTGTTATAGCATAAGCATTAGAATGCTTGTAATTATTTATAATATCACTTAGCAAATCTTGGTTCCCTTTATATAGTCAGGGGGATCAGAAGTGACAAGCTACTGCCCCAACAGTCTCTCAGAAGCCAGGCCTCATTTGGTGCTTGGGGTTTTCCAGGCCTTCCCCAAGGTAGTTGGTATTTTGGTATTTTACCCGCTTGAATGGCCCTTACTGCCGGGGGCAGGCAGGTAGGAATCTCCATATCTGGAAAAAGTGGGACCTGGGGCAAGCTGCAAGCTAAGAATAATGCGTTTGGCAGGAAAGACACTAAGACTCTAATAGGAAGTGGAAGGGTGGACTTGGAGGGAGGAGGAAGTGAAATCAAGGAAATAGCCCTAGCTGTGGCCTCAGCCTTCTTGGGAGGAGCTGATACTTGGCGTTAGTTGCCATCAAGTTACTCTCACAGTAGTACCTGATGGCACGTAACGGGAACCTGTGTCTAGTCTGGTGGCAATTTTGCATTCAAGAAGTGCTGCCCCCTACTGGGGGTTGCTAAAAGCACTGTCATTTACGTGGTTTTTAAAAATCATTATTTCTGAGGCAGCATCTCACTGTGTCGTCCAGGCTGGAGTGCAGTGGCGCCATAAAGGCTCACTGCAGCCTCCACCTCCTGGACTCCAGCAATCCTCCCACCTCAGCCTCCCGAGTAGCTGGGACCACAGGTACCACCGTGCCCAGCTAATCTTTATTTTTTGTAGAGTCAGAGTCTCACCACGTTGCTCAGGCCTCAGCCTCTTCAAGTGCTGGGATTACAGGTGTGAGTGTGAAGTGTTGAACAGCGGCTCGGAGAGGCCAACCAGGATCCAGGAAGCCCTGTCCATGCCGCCTCCACTGGTCCAGAGCTAGTACCCTCAGCCAGTATCACACTCACCATGCCCCAGACACTTTGGGTCAACAGAGAAATTCAGATACCCAAGAGAGTGGAAGCGGACAAAGGCACAGGAGGATTCCATAAGAGAGTTTGGATTGGTCACCTCCATTCAGGCTCTGCCTGAGGAAAGCAGAATAGGGTCCGGGCGCAGTCAGCTGAATGGAGCGCCTGAAGATGGCTTGCACCAGAGCCTTCCGTGGCTGAAGGGAGAAGCCAGGGGGTGAGTCAACCCCAGGACTTGATGGAACAAACAGGAACTAGATGATCTGGTAAGGAAGAAGTGAGGCTGAGCAAGAGATGGCCCAGACTCCCCGGCTGCCACTGCCTTCATACACATCCCACACGCAGTGTTTAGACAGAGCAGCAGAGAAGAAACAGACATCCTGGATCCCTCTGGGAGCAGGCCAGGGCTGGGAACAGGAGGTCTGTTTATTCCTGGCAGTCCCATATCCGAGGGGTCCCACACCCACTTCTGTCCAGGCCCCAGGCTGAACTCTCCCAAAGCCTGTGACTTCTGCCCAACCAGATCGTGTGGGTCTGAGGGCCAGTGCTGGAACTCGGAGTCCTCCCCACCCACCGGCTCCCTTGAGGATGGATTTGAGGCTGGATGCTTTCCTCTTTCCACTTTTCGTTCCAACAGAAGTCCCTCCTCTCCGGGACCCCTGACTGGCTGTGCAGAGCTGGCAGCCACACTCCGAAGGCGTCCAGCCCTTCAGGCCCAGCTCTCCTGGAGAGCACGGAGTTCCTTTGTTCCATTTACTTGTGCTTTTCAGCCTGAAAGTGTTTCCTAAAGTCTCACCCCAGCCCCAGCTTTCCTGCTGTTCCCTCCCAGTTCAGGCCTTGAGGGAGTATGGCTGGGCTTCTCTCCTTCCCCTCACTCCAAAGCCCCACTTGATACGAGGTAGAAATCGGGGCACCACTTCTGGCTTCCCAGCCTTGAACTTGCCCTTCCCTCTGTTGTACCTGGTTTCCTTGGTTTCCCTGTGCAGCAAAAGTGTCACTCCCCTCTTGCTTTTCCCAAGTGCCCTATGCCCTTCTCAACAGATCTGTCTTAGAGGGGACAGGTGCAGAGAAAGGCAGAAATCCTAATAATGTTCCCAGTGATCGCTGCCTGTCATGGAGTGCTGAAGTGCCAAGGGCTGATCTGAGTCCTTATCACATAGGACCTCACTTAGTCTCACGATAGGTGAGTACAACTATGGGCCCCATTTTACAGATGAGGAAACTAAGACAAGAGAACTTTAGTCATTTGCCCAAGTTCACTGGCTTTTAAGAAAAGGATCCAGCTGGGTGTGGTGACTCACGCCTGTAATCCCAGCACTTTGGGAGGCAGAGGCGGGTGGATCACGAGGCCAGGAGTTCAAGACCAGACTGGCCAACATGGTGAAACTCCATCTCTATTAAAGATACAAAAAATTAGCTGGCGTGGTGGCACGTGCCTGTAATCCCAGCTACTTGGGAGGCTGAGGCAGGAGAACTGCTTGAACCCAGGAGGAGGCAGCGGTTGCAGTAAGCCGAGATCACGCCATTGCACTCCAGCCTGGGCAACAGGGCACAAGACTCCATATCAAAAAAAAGGATTCAGACAGCTCTGATTCCAGCACCAGCTCATGCCTCTTCATCTCGGGGGAAGAGAGGGAGTGGTTTGTTGAGGCAAACCCCTACCCATCAAGGGCCAAGCACTGGGGTATAGGCAGCCACATGGGGAATATCCCATGATATTCCCCACCACAACCTTAATTAGAGGTGGTTTTTCTTGTTTTCATTTTACCATAGGCGAAAACCGAGGCCCAGCATATACCTTACCCAGGGTCACATCCCCAGAGCCATTTGTCCCTCATAGTTCAGAACTGGACTCAAAGCAGTTGAGAAACGTGTGGAATGACCCCAGATTCAGGAAGGCAAGTCTAGCCTTATAAACCGAAAGGCTCCTCAGGCGGCAGGATGGGAGTGAAGATCCTCAGGCCCCAAACACCCCACCACTGCCACCATCACACTCACACGGAAGTGCGGAGGGAGGCTGGTGTGCTGTCAGCTGGCCAGCCAGTCCAGGGGATTAAATGTAAATGCATCAGTGGAGGCAGGAAGTCGGGAGGGGTAACTAAATCATTATTATTCATTAACTGGAATGCATTTCTCAGATTACTCCAAGCTGGAGTAGGGAAACTGTCACTTAGGTGGCAGGGGAGGGGGGCACAGGGTGGGAGGGGGAAGCAGGCCTCCCGGTTGCTGAAGTTTAGAGCTTGCCAGGTCCCACCCCCCCAGAGGCGGGGCTGAGGCTGAGCCCCGCCAGCCTCACTTCATCCCTCTGCAAACCCAGATAGGGGCAGAGCCTGGGTAGGAGAGCCTGGCCCTGCTGTCCCCACCGGACGGAGGCACCATGCACCCGGTCCACTTGTGCTCTTCAGCCAGGACACCAGACATGGTCCAAACCCCTGCAGGACTGGCTGCAGCAACTCCCTGACACTCAGGAAGGCCCAGGCTGGGCAGGCAATACCTACCTGCTCCCAGCAGCCATGTGAGTAGCTACTCCCCCCACCCCCAGACCCCAGATCCTGGAGGGGCCACTGCACCCAGCCCAAGCCACCAGACCCTCAGGGTGTGCACCCTGCTGGGAAATCACCCCTGGGGGCTGCTCCCTGCCTTTCTCATTGTTCTGGTGGAGATGGGGTGAGGAAATCATTCTGATTAGGTCTAGGAGCTCCAGCTCAGGCCAGGTTTGGGGTAATGAACCCTGAGTTTCTCGGGGCTTAAGAGAGTTGATGATGCCAGGGGGTAGGGAACAGAAACTGGAAGGCCTCTAGAGAGGAAAAGACATCCTGGGTGGAGGGCACTGGAGGAGATTAAGCAAGAAGAAACAGGCTTAGGGGAGGGGAAAGGGGGCACAAGGCCTTGGAGACCCAGGTTCAGGGTGCTGAGGGAACCTGGGAAGGAAGGGGAGCATCTTCCTTCCTCTCAGCTCAGGTGGCCATGGGGCCCTGATTCCCTGTCCTGGAGGAGGGGAAAGGTGTGAATCCTTTCCTTATTGACTCGGATCCTAGCAACAGCACCTGCTCCCCTGTTGACAGAAGCAGGAGTTCCCACAGGACACAGGACCCCTCCCCCTGTCCCCAGGATGTGACAGCAGGGCCATGACACTGGAGGACTGAGATCAGGGAGTGATGGGAAGGTCAGGGACAGATGAGAGCCACAGAGAAGTCAGGCTCTGCCCACTGGCTCCTCTTCCCTCTCCTCTGGGCTCAGCCTTGGCCCTGGGTGTATGGGGGAGTCCCTCTCCTTGCTGCTGGCATCTCCACATTCACTGCCATACGTCCCCTCCCGCTGCTTCTCCCTCCAGCTCCCAGGAAGGACCCTGTTGCTAGTGTGGAGCAGACGAGTCAAGTTTATGGGCTGGAAGTCCTACCCAGAGGCTGCTTACTGAGCTGTGATGGCTACAAGGACAGATGGGGGGAAGGGCTCAGGGTGCCCAAGACCTGGCCCGATGGAGCCTGTCACCTGATGGCCGGAGACCACTACACACCAGCCGGCCTGGGCCTTTCTTTCAGTTCATTTAGGGGCCTCCCCTGTGGAGGCAGGGATACACAAAATGCCTTGGGGCTGGATAGGCCTGCCTTTCAGTCTAAACAGAAGCCTAAACACAGCTGCCCAGAAGAGGCAGATAACAGAAACGGATAAAGCTGGCCGGGCATGGTGGCTCACGCCTGTAATCCCAGCACTTTGGGAGGCAGAGGTGGGCGGATCACATGAGGTCAGGAGTTCGAGATCAGCCCTACCAACATGGAGAAACCCCATTTCTACTGAAAATACGAAATTAGCCAGGCGTGGTGGCACATGCCTGTAATCCAAGCTACTGGGGAGGCTGAGGCAGAAGAATCGCCTAAACCCAGGAGGCAGAGGTTGCAGTGAGCCAAGATCATGCCATTGCACTCCAGCCTGGGCAACAAGAGCAAAACTCAAAAAAAAAAAAAAAGAAATGGATAAAGCTGGCTGGGTGGGGACTATCCGAGGGGCAGCCACCAGTGAGCTCTGCTATGTAGGACATATGTATTGCCAGATCTTTCAATAGCAACCAGATAGGAGGTTTGGTTTTGTTTTGTTTTGTTTTGAGACGGAGTTTCGCTCGTTACCCAGGCTGGAGTGCAATGGCGCAATCTTGGCTCACCGCAACCTCCACCTCCCAGGTTCAGGCAATTCTCCTGCCTCAGCATCCTGAGTAGCTGGGATTACAGGCACGCGCCACTGTGCCCAGCTAATTTTTTGTATTATTAGTAGAGACGGGGTTTCACCATGTTGACCAGAATGGTCTCGATCTCTTGACCTCATGATCCACCCGCCTTGGCCTCCCAAAGTGCTGGTGTTACAGGTGTGAGCCACTGCGCCTGGCAGGAGTTTTTTATATAAATGCTTAATTGGCTATTAATTGAAAACTTCTATGTATCAGCAAACATGATAGAGCCCACAGCCTGTGGGTCTGTGCCCCTGGATTAACGTGCAGCCCTGCCAGGAAGCCATAACCTGCAGTCCCATCCTAACTCTGGCCACTCCATCCTCCAGGCATGCCAGCTGCTGCTCCAAGACTCTCCTGTCCCCAGGACCAAGATGATGCCCAACAACACGGGGGAGGTGCCCAGCTCCATTCCCAAAGGGGTTCTGGGGCTCTCCCTCACCCTGGCAAGCCTCATAGTCACTGCGAACCTGCTCCTGGCTCTGGGCATTGCCTGGGACCGCCGCCTGCGCAGCCCACCTGCTGGCTGCTTCTTCCTGAGCCTGCTGCTGGCTGGGCTGCTCACGGGTCTGGCATTGCCCACGTTGCCAGGGCTGTGGAGCCAGAGTCACCGGGGTTACTGGTCCTGCCTTCTCCTCTACTTGGCTCCCAACTTCTCCTTCCTCTCTCTGCTTGCCAACCTCCTGCTGGTGCACAGGGAGCGCTACATGACAGTCCTGAGGCCACTCCGGCCCCCTGGGAGCACACGGCTGGCCCTGCTCCTCACCTGGGCAGGCCCCCTGCTCTTTGCCAGTCTGCCGGCTCTGGGGTGGAACCACTGGACCCCTGGTGCCAACTGCAGCTCCCAGGCTATCTTCCCAGCCCCCTACCTCTACCTTGAAATCTACGGGCTCCTCCTGCCCGCCGTGGGTGCTGCCGCCTTCCTCTCTGTCCGTGTGCTGGCCACTGCCCACCGCCAGCTGCAGGACATACAGCGGCTAGAGCGGGCAGTGTGCCGTGATGCACCCTCGGCCCTGGCCCGGGCCCTCACCTGGAGGCAGGCAAGGGCACAGGCTGGAGCCATGCTGCTCTTTGGGCTGTGCTGGGGGCCCTATGTGGCCACGCTGCTCCTCTCAGTCCTGGCCTACGAGCAGCGCCTGCCGCTTGGGCCTGGAACTCTGTTGTCCCTCCTCTCCCTGGGAAGTGCCAGTGCAGCGGCTGTGCCTGTGGCCATGGGGCTGGGCGACCAACGCTACACAGCCCCCTGGAGGGCAGCTGCCCAAAGGTGCCTGCAGAGCCTTTGGGGAAGAGCCTCCCGGGACAGTCCCAGCCCTAGCACTGCCTATCATGCAAGCAGCCACAGCAGCATCGACCTGGACTTGAACTAAAGGAAGGGCCTCTGCTGACTCCTACTAGAGCATCCGTCCATCCGAGCCACCCAGCCTGTCTCCACGTCTCAGGATCAGAGCCCCTGCCTCTGTTTGACCCCACACTGACTGAATAAAACTCCTCTGGCCGTTTATGGTTATCTCATTCTGTATCTCAGAAAGGGCGAAGCAGGAGGAAATAGCTCAACATGCCAGCAATAGAAAGAACCTACAGACAGGCCACACGCAGTGGCTCACGCCTGTAATCCCAGCACTTTGGGAGGCTGAGGTGGGTGGATCACAAGGTCAGGAGTTCAAGACCAGCTTGGCCAATATGGTGAAATCCTGTCTCTACTAAAAATACAAAAATTAGCTGGGCATGGTTGTGAGCAACTGTAATCCCAGCTACTCAGGAGGCCGAGGCAGAGAACTGCTTGAACCTGGGAGGCGGAGGTTGCAGTGAGCTGAGATCACTCTACTGTACTCCAGCCTAGGCAACAGGCCGTCTCAAAAAAAAAAAAAAAAAAAAGAACCAACAGACAGACGTGTGGATCAAAGCAGAGTCTGACTCCAGGCAGGCAAGGAGTGTCCGTACACAAAGACCACCCCTGGACACGGGGAGCTGGCACATCTTGAGACATCCCGCAGATTCTGTGAGGCAGCCTTGCCCTGATGGGGCCCTGGCTAGCTCCTAAGTAAGGTTCAGCGACCACAAAATCCACACAGACACTGTCTGGGAAGTATATTTTATTTACATTTTTAAAATTTTTAACTAGTATCTCTTCCTCCTTTCCACCCCCCGAGACTTGGGAAGGGAAAGAACGGGAACCTCAAATACCTACTCCCCACATACAAATACACACCCCATGGCTCACACCAGCAAATGAAAGTGAAAAACAAAGAGGTTTGCCCCTCCCTCTGAAGGGCCCATCAGGTGTGGGCAAGGGGCAAGGGTCAGAGGGCCCTGGGCTGGGTCTCTAAAGACAAGAAAAGGAGAGGGGAGCAAATCAGTTGAAGAGGCTGGAAAATCATCCAGGGCCCTGCCCTCCTCTCCCCTCTGTGCCCTATTGCCTCTACTGGTGGGCGGGGCGGGGGTCCCTTCATCCCCTCGACAGCAGACACACAGGCAGGGGCTGCAGCCATTAACGATCAGGCCTCTGGACACAAAATACTTTCGCTTTGTGGTCTCCTGATGTGGTCACCACCAGGGAGGCATCTCTGTCAATAGAAAGCAGATGACTGCAGAGATGAGCCCACCAACCAGGTGGGCTCCTCCAGCACACCCGCAGTTCTAGGGCCCTAGAGCCCAGCACTGGGCCAACACGGACGCAGCCAGCACAGAGGGGATGAGCAGAAGTCCCCAGCATGGGGGCAGAGCTGACTCTAATGGGGAAAATCAGTCTCGGCCTCTCCCTCATGACTGAGACGTGGGGCCCCTGAGGGTCACTGACAGCCACTGGGGTGGGGGCTAGCTGTGAACCCTCAGGGTTCCCAGCATTCCTGCCTTAGGAATCCCCTCCCACACCCCAAGGATCCTGTGTCCCCCATGTACTACTCCCACCTTCCAAATACACAGAGATCCCAGCCCGTGGCCAATTCGCTTACTTGCTGAGAGCGAAGTCCAGGATCTCAGCCGTGTGGCCCCGGTAGTCGGTAAGTAGGCGGCCAGTCCGGGCATCCCAGAGGCGCACGATCCCATCCAGGCTGCAGGTGTAAACCACGGCGGTGCCTGCTTCCCACAGCAGCTGCACGATGCCCGACTGTCCCGAGGAATGACAGGCAGGGCGGAGGTCAGGGAAAGAGCTGAGAGCCGTCTGCTCCCAATTCTCAAAGAGGGACAGCCACACACAAGGACCAGGCAGGAGCCAGATGCTGGGGCAGATGCTCCCAGAGGCCAGGGCTTCCGTACTACCATGGCCACATCCCACAGGGACCCCAGCTGCAGCTGCCCGTACCTGGTGCTGGCACTGATGCCTAAGAGTCTGCGTAGCCAAGTCATAGATGGCCAAGGTCCCATCTAGGTAGCCGACAGCTGCCAGAGGCATCCTGAGCAGAGGATCACACCATGAAGACTCATGAGAGTCTGGACTCACGTGCCCAGCCCTCCCCCAGGGTCGCCAGTCCAGGTCCCTCCCACAAGCCCCTCTCCCCGTCCTCACTCACACGCTGCAAAAGCCCAAGGACTCCACCGAATTGGACTCACTCTCCTCCCCTTCTCCCAGGCTGGGCTGGGAGGCCACAGTTTCAGGTCGAAAAACACCCACCACCTGAAAGCGAGAGTGGATCAGAGGAGAGCCCGGTATCCGGGTGCTTGATGGAGAGAAAGACGGTGGGGAGGGGAGACGATGAGGACCCAGGCAGGAAGGAGAGAAGACGGGAAAGCGGAGGGCCCTGGCTGGGCTCCAGGTCCACTCACCTTGCCGGTGGTGGCACTGACCAGCTTGGCCTGGCAGTCCACAGAGCCAGTTAGGATCAGGCTGCCATCCTGGTTGGTGGCAACACAGGTCAGTGGGCCCTGGTGGCCCTCAGTCCCTAGCATAGAGCAGGGAGGCAAGTCAGGCTTCGTCCTATCTTCCCTCTGAGTCCTGCCCCAGGTTCTCAGTTCCTCCCCACAAAGGCCTAGGTTGGCCGGGCGCAGTGGCTCATGCCTGTAATCCCAGCACTTTGGGAGGCCAAGGCGGGCTAATCACGAGGTCAAGAGATTGAGACCATCCTGACCAACATGGTGAAACCCTGTATCTACTAAAAATACAAAAATTAGCTGGGTGTGCTAGCACGCGCCTGTAATCCCAGCTACTTGGGAGGCTGAGGCAGGAGAACTGCTTGAACCCGGGAGCAGAGAGAGTGAGCCGAGATCGCGCCACTGCACTCCAGCCTGGCCACGGAGTGAGCCTTGGTCTCAAAAAAAAAAAAAAAAAAAAAAAGGCCCAGGTTAAAACTTCCCCCACCTCTAATACCTTTCAGCACGTGGATGGGGCTTCCCTGCTTCAGGTCCCAAATCCTGATGGTGCCATCTTCATAGCCTACCACAGCTCTCTTCCCTGAAGAGAGGCAGAGATGAAGAGAGGGCAGAGATACACTAAGCAAGGGAATGGGGAGAGGGAGAGGAAGGAAGAGTGGAAGGGCCCAGACACTACCCCAGGAATCAGAGGTGAGTTCAGAGCAGGAAGGAGGCGGTATGAGCTTTAGGGCCCGGGAGGTCAGCGCTCCCAAGAGCACGCCTGAGTTTGCTGGCTGTGGCCTAGAAGGCAGCTCGGAGAGGTGTATATCCTGGGATTCAGTCTCTGCACTGGAAAGGACACTCAAGGGAGCTGCTCTCACCATCAGGGAGGACTCGGCCACAGGTGGCGGGACAGTTGGGGCCCTGGAAGGTCTTGCAGTCACCGTTTGGGACTTTCCACATCCAGGTGTTGCCGTCAGCGGTGCCCGCAAGTAGGACAGGTGCCCGAGGGTGCCACTCCATCCACTGGACAGGGAGGAAGGGCAGCAAGGAGGCCCGTCACCCCATCCCACCTAGCAGCCTGCCCCATGAGCTCCACCCAAGGTTTCCTGCCTCTAGGGTTCCGCAGGGACCTTCCAGGTAACAGGCAGACATTCTTCCTGTGCCTTGGGTGGCTCAGAGCTGGCCTTCCAACCTTGCAGCCCCCACAGCCCAAGGACCCCGAGTTGATTCCCACTCTGATGATCTTACCTCCAGATCTCCCGCTTCAAAGGACCAGATCTCCTCCTTAGTGTCCACCTGCCACACTTTCAAGAGGCCACTCATGTCCCCTGTGGCGACTAGAGTGGAGTCATGGCTGAAACCAGCACAAGTCACGGAGTCTTTATGGCCTTCAAAGAAAAGTGGGCAGAAAGAGAGGAAAATGATAGGGTACCTGGTGCTGGTGGCATCTGGTATCTGGCCCCCTGAAAGGAGCAGTTAGGCAAAAAAGGGGGATGGGGCTGAGCAGAACAGGTGATGGAACTCACCACCACTCCAGGAACCAACGCTCCCATGAATGCCAGGAGAGACACTGCCGGCCCTCATTCAACCAGGCTGAGCCCAGGCCTCCCATACCTTCCCCTTTCTGTCCACTCTACCCCTCTGCCCAACCGCTCCTACACCAGTGTGGCCTCCTCTGGCCTTTCCTGGACTCCCTTGGAACAATTAGTGCCTCCTGCCTCTGTGCCCAAAACATACTAGTGTTCTCCCCGAGTCCTGGGGCCCAGCACAGAGCTGGCACAACAGAGACATCGCTAAGTGGCTGTTGGATGCACAACCATTACAGGCCACCCCCTAAGACCTCCCAAAGGAATATGACCTCTCCCAGGCCTCTAGCTCGGTCCCCTCACCTGCACACTCAAACAGCAGCTCCCCATCACTGAGCCTCCACACGAATGCTTTGTCATCTTCACCCCCAGTCACGGCCAAAGTGTTGGTCTTGGGATCCAGGCTCACACAAAACACAGATGCTGTCCCAAGAGATATTCCATGGGTAAGGGAGCAGAGCTCCCACCTAGGGCTCTGCCCTTCAGAACCTTCAGGAACCCCACCCTCTTTCACCCAAACCAACATGTCTTTTCTCCTGGAAAAGACAGGCACATCCAAGTTCTTCTGAGTTTTAAAAATTTGGGTTGTTAGAACCTTCCCACATTTGCCAAGCTGCAAGTCCTTCTCCAGAGCAGGTGCCCTCACTGTGCGACTCACCACCCATACCATGGACAGGAGGTGGGTATAGGGGCAGGGCTTACGGTTCTCAGCATGGGATGCTGCTGGATTAGGTACAGAGGGAGAAGAACATCATGTTACGGGTTTCTTACTAAGAACTAGTACTTGAGAAAATTATATAAAATATGCTCAAAAAGATACCATTATCTCTAATTTTAATTAATTTGTTTTTTTAAGACAGGGTTTCACTCTGTCACCCATGCTGGAGTGCAATGACTCGATCTCAGCTCACTGCAACCCCCGCCTACCAGGTTCAAGTGATTCTCCTGCCTCAGCCTCCCACATAGCTGGGATTATAGGTGCCTGCCACCACACTCAGCTAATTTTTGTTTTTAGTAGAGATGGGTTTTCACCATGTTGGCCAGGCTATTCTCGAACTCCTGACCTCATGATCACCTGTTTTCACAACCTCCCCCCACAAAGTGCTGGGATTACAGGCATGAGC